ATTAATAACTTTTCTATAATATGTTTCTTTCTCCTTAAATAGTATAAAAAATGATAATCTTTTCTATGATTCCTTAGTCTTTATTTTTTTCTTTCCTTTCTCTCTCTTTCTCTTCCTCTTTCTTGACCTTTCTTTCCTTTCTAAAATAATTATTAATACAAATATCGAGAAATGAAAAATATAATGCATTTCCCCTTCCCTTATTGCTTAATATGAAACAAAAAACGAAAGAAAATTTTAATGAACCATCACCAACTTTCCCCATCTATAAATCAAACGTGAATAATAAAAGAAACAAAACAAAAGCGATTAATGCAAATAATATAAAAGTAAAATCTCTTGTTTTCCATAGGCTCTTTCTTCTTCTTTCTGGCCCTTGTGCAATGAAAACAAAACTATACTTCTCTTTCTCCTCCTCCCCTTTTCTCCTCCTCTCTAGGATTTATGACATTAGCATGGTAAATATCTTTGGAAATGCACACAAGCGATTTCAAGATTAAACAACAATAAACAACAAATAAAAGATACCAATGATCAGTAACAAAATAAAACAATCTCCAATAAAAATGGATTAGACGACATCTCGGTTATAAAAATTGATGCCGGTTTCGGTTTTGCCTGTCATTCTTTTAAAATGTGTTCTGTTGCTTACCACCAAGAGTTGTTGGAAGATGATGGATTACCATAAGAAGATGATCCACCGTATCCTCCAGAGCTGCTTCCACCGTAACTACGGCCATTGCCTGAAGATTGGCCGCCGTATGATGAGTAACCACCTTCGTTTCCCCATCCACCGGAAGATTGGCCACCGTAACCACCGCCGCTTCCACCTCTTCTGAAGTCTCTAACTGGACCTCTGGATCCACCACGAGAACCTCCACGGGCAGATCCACCTCTACCGCTACCGAAGGCACTTTCTCTGGCAATTTTAGATAAAAAGTCTGGAACTTCTTGATTAGCTTCACCTAAAAGATCCAATAATCCCTTGACAATATTCTTGTTGTTTCTATTGAAGAAAGCGGTAGCAATACCAACATTACCAGCACGACCAGTACGACCAATTCTATGAACATAGTCATCAATATCACTTGGTAAGTCGTAATTGACAACATGGGAAACATTTGGAATATCTAAACCTCTTGCGGCAACGGCAGTGGCAACCAAAATTGGTGCAGTACCACTCTTAAAGGCAGCAAGAGCCTTTTCTCTTTCGTATTGAGATCTGTCACCATGAATAGCAGTGGCTGGGAATCCTTGATCATAAAGGAAGTCAGCTAAGTTATCAGCCATTCTCTTGGTTTCAGTGAAAATGATAGTCAATCCGTTTTCGTTGGCAGATAATAAATCTAACAACACAGACTTCTTTTCTTCATCTTCAACGTATAAGATCTTTTGGGTAATGTTTTCAGAAGTGGAACCAACACGTCCAACGGACAAGAAGATGTATTCCTTTAAAAAGTCTCTGGCCAACATTTGGATATCTCTTGGGAAGGTGGCAGAAAACATCAAGGTTTGTCTGGCTTCAACACCTGGCATATCACATTCTTGGACAATGTGTCTGATTTGAGGTTCAAAACCCATATCTAACATTCTATCAGCTTCATCTAAAACCAAATACTTAATATTCAGTAAGGAAACACGGCCTCTTTCCAATAAATCCTTCAATCTACCTGGGGTAGCCACCAAAAGATCGCAACCGTTTTCCAAGTTTCTGATTTGTTGACCAATGTCAGCACCACCATAAACGACACATGGTCTAACCCATGATCTGTAGGAGAACTTCTTGGCTTCATCGTAAATTTGGGAAACCAATTCTCTAGTTGGGGCCATAACCAAGATAGTTGGGTGAACCTTGTGAGAGGAAAAAGCACCACCAGTTTCGGTAACTGGAGCTGGTCCGCTCATGTAGGATTCAGACAAGACAGGGAAAAGGAAACCACCAGTCTTACCGGAACCAGTTTGGGCACAGGCCATCAAATCTCTACCACCAGCAACGATAGGGACAGAGTACTTCTGCACTGGGGTTGGCTTGGTGAATCTGGATAAGGTGACGTTTTCAACCAACAACTCGTCCAAAGGAGGAGCTGTGAAGGCAGTGATTGGTTCTGGGACTCCTTCACCAGAAGCTTCAACTGGGATGTCATCGTAGTTATCGAAGTTGATACCAGAAGATTGGAAAGTTGGGTCTTCCTTGACACCAAAAAGCTCGATTTCTAACTTTTCGTTACGTTCAGCTGGGACGTGCTTACCGTCAGCCCATCTACCTTCACCAGGTCTTGAGCCACGGCCACGGCCACCGAAGCCTCTGGCACCTGATCCTCCTCTACGGTAGCCGCCAGAGTAGCCTCCGTTGTTGTTATTGTAGCCTCCGTTACTGTAGCCGCCACTGCCACCAAAGTTGCTACGACGATTGTTGTCGTATCCACCGCCACGACGGTTGTTCGAACCGCCAAATCCTCCGTTGGATTCGCCGCCGAATGATCTACCGGCACCTCTTCCACTTCCACGGAGGTGTGGTGGCACGTATCCACCGTTGGATGATGATGATGCTTGTTGCTGGCCGTTAGAGGATTCTCCACCGCCAACTGAAAGCTTGTTCATTTGCTGAGTGATATCAGACATATTCAATTTCTTCTTTTAGTAATTAATAAAAAAAAAATGGGTTGTAATGAAGAAGAGAAGAAGGTTAAGTAAATTTTGGAATTGGATTTTTTTTTTTTCTTTTTCGTTGCCTCTTCAAAAAAAAAAAAAGAAAAAAAAACCGTGGAAAATTTTCACTGCAGGTTGCTTACTATGCGAAGTTGACCCTTTGCTATGCAAATCAGTGACACAAAAGCGTGCTGATGGGGAGGCCAAAAAAGAAAAGACAGATCGAAAAATAAAAAGGAAAAAGAAAAGCAGGTCACGTGCGCTGTGGAAAGTCTAGATCTGTAAGGTTGCGGCAAGATGAAGAGGTGGGACGTGGGTGTAGTGAATGGTGTAGGTTATGTGTTGGGATGGCGGAGGGAGTTACTGGTTGAAAACTGAAGGATTCGAAAATTGAAGAATTGAAGAATTGAAGAATTGATAGAGTTTAAGAATTGAAAAATTGAAGAATTAATAGAGTTGCTACTGGCACTCAGGCTGCACTGCGTTTAATATTCTATGTCAAACTATGAATTAGGCTATTCAAATATTTAATGTATCAGGTTCAGTACTGCGTGTATCAGTTCAATGGTAGAAACTATTGCTGTGCATGGCGATAGCCAATTGCATTGCATTGTTCAAGACTGCATCACTCCATGTAACTATGCGATGAGTCAAGGTGAATCATAAAAAGTATTAGGATAAAGCATATGTTCGAATGGTCAGCGCCAATTGCACTGCGTTATCTCTAATACTACATCACTCCATAAGTTGAGCTAATGTGCATCCTTCAGTATCACTTGTATAGTCACCGCCCTTGTATTGCATTCAATGTTGTATATCCCTTACTGGTTAGTCCATCCAATGTTATCTCAATTCTTTGCAAAAGTATACATATACGCATACGATAGCTCTTTTCCGATCCTAGCTGATCCCTGATATGCGTTTTACAACATACAATATTCCAAGCTACCTAGTACCTGTAATATACGCATCACTGTCAACCTATCCCCCACAGTAAACCATTTAAATCCTAATCTCTTAACGATATCCTAGCATTTGGATGTGCGTAACATGTTCTCTCCTCAAAATTAAAATTAGGAAGGTGCAGGGGTGGTGTACTCAATCCATTTCCTGACTCTGGTAAGTAAGGACTCAGATCTTCGTCTTCGAACGACGAAGTAGATGAAGTAGAGAATGTAGTGTTACTAGTAGATGAGGTAACCGGCTGCATTTCGAGATTTTCCCTTATCTGCTGTCTCAAAGTTCGTTTCTCCTCTTCTTCAACCTCTTCTAGAGATTCCATCTCATCATTATCAGTTTCATCAATGTCAAATTGATCTTCTTCATCGTTATCTTCACATCCGTCGCCACCTTCACTATTCTCACCTTCGTCCTCATCGTCATCTCTAGACCCATCTCCGTCTGCATCTATGTGGAGATTGCCAGACATTTCGCCTATATCCCCCCTTACATTAGTATGGCTTCCGTTTGCATGTGGTGACTTATTCAACAAGGATGCAAAAGGTTTTTGAGTTTCACGAACGTTCCAGTTCAAATTTCTGCTCACACTGTCAATATAGTCGGTTTTCGATGATATCACCGTAGGAAAAGGGAATGGACTGGCTTGGATAGTAACATAGTCACCCTTCTTCAATTCTGTTCGCACCTTACCATCAAACGACGCCCAAGCAGTGGCCCTTGAAGATTTAGGTACCTTTACCTTCAAAAGCATTCCGTCTGGTAACAAAATGGGTCTGAATGATAAAGTATGCGGACAGATGGGCGTCACACTGATAGCACTAACACCAGGATGTACCAACGAACCACCAGCGGAAAGTGAGTAAGCGGTGGAGCCTGTAGGTGTAGCTATTATTAATCCATCCGCCTGTGCTATGGTCAACAATGAACCATCTCCGTAAAGCTCCAATTGTGTAACATATGGGCTAGGGCCCCTATCCACCACAAGTTCATTCAAAACTTGTTGTTCGCAGACTAATTTGCCATCTGCTTTATGAACTCTACATGTGAATCTCATACGAAGATATGCTCTCACTCCAGATTCCACAGCTGAGTTCATCTTGTCTCTAAATTGATCGAACTTGAAGTTGGTCAAAAACCCGAGCGATCCCAATGAAAACGATAAAACTGGCGGTACAACTCTCTGGAACAAGTTGGAAACATATAACACGGTACCGTCACCTCCCAACGTAACAACCAAATCGAACTGCTCCGGATTACGAAGCGCATAAGACTTATCCCAGTATTTCAAGCAAGTTTGAGCTCTTGGAATGGTCTTCATCAAACCCGGTGCATCAAATCTCTTCAGGTTCCTCAACTTGCTATCCACATATACAACAATCTCTCTATCCTTGCACAACAACCATTCTGCCACTTCTCGAGTAAGATATATGAGTGAATTGTCTCTCGCCTTGGTAACTACCATAATCGCCCGTACATCAAGCTGTATCGTAGCCTTGGCTAGATTCCGTGCAAGCATACGAACTCCATTAGCGGTTTCCGCCAACTCCGTGTGTGACCTGACAGGTTTGAGCTCTTCATTCTTGAGTTTCAGTAGCACGGAGCATGAAGAGTTCGATGAAATCGCTGGTGATATCTTCTGAGTGTATGATGACGCCAAGTGACTGTTATTATGGTGAATTTGATTATGGTTTTGCTGATGGCCTTGGCCCTGGCCATGGTGCGAGTGTGGTTGCAATTTATCTAGCCTTAACTTTACTTGATCAACAAATAATTTGTTATGTATGACTGGAGGGTTTGTATCTGCTACTGATGGGGGACTCATATTGCCACCATTATCGTACGTTGAAGGTTGTGTATTGAATCTGTTGAGCGTCTTACGGTATGAGTTGTCAAAGGACTTGCCCTCCTTCGGAATATCTATCGATTCTCTGGACAGCATCCCCCTTTTATCGCTACTTTTTTCGCTCGACATTTCAAACTTTGATCAATGTGGGGCCTTAATCTAAGCCTGCTTCAATAAAATATCCGAGAAGATCGCTTTCACTTACTAATACCCAATAAGAATGAAAAACTTCACCTTCAAACCTTGGAGAAATTTTACTGTGTGCATATGCTCGCAAAAATTGTAAGCGTATCTGTGAATTTTTTTTTTTTTAGGCTAATTTTTTTCCATTTACCTGCGCGGGTATATTATCCGATTCGGATTAAGTAGGGGAGTGGAATGGGTCCAATGGGTAAGAATGGAGCACGTTTTGATGGGGTGGGTAGTCGGATTTCGGGTTAGTAGGTAGTCATAAATGGGCTGTAGATATGTAGGGAAAGAAGGACGAGGTTTGTGGCATTTTGTGGCAGACCATGGCTGTGCGCTCTAGGTTAAGCACTGGGTGCAAAAAAGGTGGGGAAGATGAGAGTGGAGATGGGGTAGAGATGAGAGGAGCTGTAGAGCGAGCTGTAGAGCGAGAAGTTTATGAGAGCTGTAGAATGAGATGTATACCAGAGCTGTAGAGCGAGTTGTAGAGTGAGTTGTAGAGCGAGTTGTAGAGCGAGTTGTAGAGTGAGCTCTAGAGTGAGCTGTAGAGCGAGTTGTAGAGCGAGCTGTAGAGCGGAGTAGTGGTAGCGCGTAGTAGAGACATAAGAAGAGTGGAAGAAGAGTAGAGAGTCAGAAGGACGTGCAATGGGTGCAGATCTTTCCTTCCTTCTCTCTTTCACATTCTTTCTATTTACGTACTATGGTAGCTCTTTATCGTTAACCTTCTTGCTTTTAAGCTCGATATATTACTTGACATATCTCTATACAATCACTATAACTATAACTATATGCGCTTCTTTCAGTTTTTGCTTCCTTCAGCATTCATCAGCTGTGAACTCTATCATTTAACCTCATCGACTCTGCATTTCCATCCACCTTCTTTTCTATCTAATAATGGTAAAGACGCACCTAAACACCATCCTAACTCATTGTTGTCAATGGTCTTAGCAGTTCTCAATTCTCTGTGCAATGGAAGATCGTAACCAGTGTGCAACAAAGAGCTCATGAATGTTAAATCCAAACACCATTGTGGTTCATTGTTTAACTCTTTAATATGATCGTCAAGTAACAATTCTTTCCAGAAAGTATCACCGTTACAAACCAACTTGGCCAAATCGGACAATTCTTCCATTGAAAATGAAGAAGGTAACCCGATTGGGTTGGTTCTGTCATAGAAGTATGAGAAGACATACATGTCGGAGGTGTGCTTGAAAGTCTTAGTCAACGATGGCTGATGAACACCATTAAATGAGCAAGGCTTTTGCTTACATTCTAATCCCTTGTTTAAAATTGCTTCAGTCATTCCACGACAAGTGGCAGATCCTGCAGATGCTGAAGGTCCTTTCATGTTAACAACGTAAATATCACCATTGCTCAATTCAACTTGAACGTTTGGTGCAACAACTCCAGGTGGGATACATGGGTTGTGTACAATAATTTCAGCCTTGGTGGTCTTGGCAGCGTTTTTATCGGCAACCTGAGCTCCTGCCAACTTTTTGGCAGTCTCTTCGTTCTTCAAAGCAGATTCCAAAAGTAAGGCGTTAACCTTGTTTCTACCTTGCATTAATCCGTAACCCAAGTGACTGAATTGGTATAAGGTGAATTTTCTACCACCAAAGGTAATTTCGAACTTGTGTTCACCTTCAGCCATTTTTTCGTTATTTGGGAATTCTGGTTCAAAAACAATTTGAGTAGATCCTCCACCTAAATCAAAGACGGCGGCAGTAGGTAACTTTTCAGCAGATCCGATGTTACCAAGCAAGTAGTTGGTGGTGATCCAAGCATAGACACCTTCATTCAGACCTTCCATGATGGAAATACCATCACCTGGAACAACTGCGAACGGATAGTCCTGTTCCAAGTGAGTTCTAACTTCAGCCAAAATCTTGGATGATTTTTCTTCACCCAACAATCTTAAACCAGCAGTGGCCTTGACTGCGATTGGTGTGCATGCCTGCTTGTCCTTAGGGACAGTTTTGAGTGCAACTTCTAACAATGGGTCCAAGGAAGCTGCTGCTCCCTTGGTGTCGGTATCGAAAGAGGACAAGCCTGGCTTCAACATTTCGAATGCCTCATTCAAAAGGGCTGGTGGGGAGACACAGGTGTTGAACTCGTAAACATGGACTCTAGAACCAGTGGATCCAGCGTCAACCATGACTACGTATTCCTTCTTGTCACAAGCAGCGGCGTTGTCAGTAACCTCCTGGATGGACATTTCACCTCCAAGTCCAGCAGCAGCGTTGGCGGCGGCTGCTGCCTTATCCTTGTTCTTCTTGTGTTCTGTCTCTGAAGATGACTTGTCGGCAACAAACTTAGGCTTCTCAGAGGATCCAGCTTTCGATGAGCCAGAGCCAGAGCCAGATCCAGATCCAGATCCAGATCCTCCTACTACTGGAGCTGCGGTGTCATCTTGTGAGTATGGAGGATTCGAGGAAGAGTGTGGCTTCCCCTTCAAAGTGTTCTTCGTTTCCTCATCTGCATGTTCATTGGAAAATGGAACTGATTCACCGTTTAATGGGAGTTTGACATTCTGAACGCCGGAAGAGAGTGAGCTTCTGGAACTCGCAAAAAATCCTACGATCGTGAAGATCACTACAACCGACAACAAGAGTCTAATATTTCTAGTGTTAAGCATGGCTGCAGGCTGGCTTTTGTAAAGAAGAGATGCTACCGCTTGGTCTCCTTTAACTTATCTTCTAAAAGATTTCTCACATCACTAACGCGCGCGCTTGTACACAAAGACGAAAAAAAAAGAAATAAATTTAAAAATAGCGAGTGAAAAATCGCGTTTGGGCGGAACGTTGGGAGTGCAGCGCTGGGAGAGGGCGCTAGCGCTAGACTGGTGTGGGAGGTGGTAGAGGGAGGATGGGGTAAATTGAGGGCGTTTGGCTGGTATTCTGATGAGTTTACGGTTATGTGAGAAGAATTGGGCCATTTTTTAAGGTAATTTTTGGCAGTATGGGTGTATTCAGGCACTACTTAGCTGGTGTGTAGCCATTAATATGTGCCATTCAGTGGGCATGCTGAGCTGCGCTCGCTAGGCTCTTCTCGAATTTTTCTTGGGCTCTGCATATGGACGAGGTGCAGGCCTGTGTGACAAAGTGGAGTATTGCTTTATTACTCTGGCGTTCTGTAAGGTGGGTTTCCGATCCTGGGAGAGCACTGGATTTGGCCAATCTGTTTGGTGCGGAGGTTTACTGCTTGGCCTCTGCTCACCCATATTCGGTCGCTGCTAACCCAGTACTGAGGTGTTCCGACACCTTTCACCAAGTCCGTCTCAGGGCGGATACAGAACAAGATCCTGCATGGTATGCGACTTTTCGAATTTTTGAAATTTTGCATGCTTCAAGCTTCAGGCTCCTTGTCTATACTACACTGTCTTTCCTTGGATAATTCTGAAACACTCCATCCCCTACTCGGAACGATTCTACGACCCACACTGCGTTATAACCGACGCCAGATCAGTCCTTCTTCGGTACAATTGCGTCACCATACTACTCTGCCCCTAAAATAGCCCACGGATCATGTGACTTCTCCATCATTGCTGTACATCCTTCAAATTCCGCACAGTAAGGGGAAAAAGAAATGATTGAATTGGTCAGAGTGCATACGCTGTAGCAATAATTGCTACCCAGAGTGAAACACTATATAAAAGCTTAAATCTTCTCCCCTAGTTATGTCTCAAGTGACTTTCTTTCCTTTCAATCATTATCTCTATCAATACATCAAAAAACCCACTATTAACAATGTACCGTGCATTAGCTTTAAGACAACTACACTCTAATATTACCAGAGCCGCACTTGCGCCTCAGGTTAGAAATATTGCAACCACTAGAGTATTGCAAAAGTCTATCATTGATTCTGCTAAGGATACTTTGAGCACTCTCAACAAAAAAACTGGTGAAGTTCTTGCAGGAGGAATGGAAAAGGCTGAAGAAGCTGTGCCAGATGTTTCCGTAAGCGAAGCGCTCAATAAGGCCAATAAGAAGACTGGTGAAGTACTTGCTGATGGAATGGAAAAGGCTGAGAAAATTGTTCCTGGATCTAAAAAGGAAGCAAAGGACGTTGCTGAAGATGCCAAGGAAAAGGTACAAGAGTACTCTGAAGATGCCAAGGAGAAGGTACAAGAGTACTCCAGTAAAGCAAACAAGAAAACCGGGGAAGTTCTTTCTGATGGGTTAGAAAAGGCTGAGGATGCTAAAGAACGTGTTGAAGCTAAGGCCAAAGTAGTTAAGAACTCAAGTGGTTACAAAGACTTGCAGGACAAGGGGAAGAAGGTTGAAAGCGAGCAGAACCGTCCAGATGATGCCGTCTAAATTGGTTCAACTATGAGAGCTATACTTAAGTAGGTATCAATTACAATTAAAAACAATACAAAGATCAATATATAATTTTATCATAAGTTTTATTACTAAACTGTAACTTCTCAATTAAATACATATAATGTCATTATGATGAAGAAATGAAATGCAGGGGAGGGTGTAGATGAATAGATAGGTGTATTCAAATCAATTTTGGAATTTTTGGAATGCTTCAGTTGAAAAATCTTCAGATTTTCCTCCAGGTATGCTTGCAGGTAATGGGGTTCCCATACCAGAAGTTGGCAATGGAGCTTCAACTGTCTTCTGTGGGGGTCTACGCTCGACAATGCTCAAGTAGTTCAGAGGCACGTAACCCATTTTACCCAGTCTTGATCTTACTTTCCACCACTTACTCTCGTTACCCATAGGATCTAATTTGGAGATGATTGCAACCAATTCGTTTGGCTTCAACTCAATTTCAATATTTGGATTTTCTGGGTTAAACTCATATAATGCCTTGGCAAATTGTAAGTTAGCAGGATCTAAAGCGCTTGCACCACCACCAATACCAGGCATTCCACCACCCTGTGCAGCTAACATTTCTTGCTTTTTACGTTGCTGCTCTGCAATCTTCTGGATAGCCTTACTGAGTAAGTATGGAAATCCGATGGAAGCGGCCAAGAAGAGCAACAAAGGCTTGAAGGAAATTCTGGCTGGTTTGCCTGATTGTTGCTTTCTGATGTTTTCTTCCAATTTCTTTTGGGTCTTCTCAAACTTGCTGAATTCCGCTGCGCTCAAGCCATGATTATATGTCTGGCCGGTGAGCTTGTACAAGATCCGTTTGGCAAACTTTATAAGTGCAAAAATACCCAAAAGGGAACCTAAGGCGTTCTTCAAGTTACCGAACTGCTCAGCTAATGATACCATAGTGAAAAACGACGAGTGCGTAGCCATGTATGTTGCTTCCAACATTTGAGCAAATCCTCCTACAGCACCAATTATGGATTCTATAAGTTGGAAAGTCGCTTGTGTTCCTTCAGCTATTCCACCAGGACCACCGTTCATGCCCATACCACCGTTCATCCCATTCATACCTCCATACATGCTACTGCCGTAGCCACCCATACCATATCCACCACTCATTCCGTATCCCCCTCCGTACATGGACGATCCGTATCCCCCTCCGTACATACTGCTACCATATCCTCCAGATCCATACATGGACGAACCGTAGCCACCAGATCCATACATGGACGATCCGTATCCTCCCATGGAGTTCCCGTATCTAGAGCCATAGCCTCCAGTGGAGGAAAGCCCTCCATAGCCTGCACTGGCCCCGTAGGGAGATGTGTTAGACATAGAAGAGAGGTCTGACCCCAATCCTACTGGTCTTTCTGGAAGTTCTGTGACGCCACTAGCACCGCCAGCGGTCGCACTGCTGGATCCTACTCCAAGACTGTGCTGTTCAGCGCCTCCTACTGCTGTCCCTCCGGACGCAGCCGCGGCGGAAGTTCCCAGTGATACTTCCCAAGGTTTTGTTCTAGGTACCGACATTGCTTTTACCTTTACTATACTATACTTATTAGTACTCTTACCAGAAGAAGAAGATGAAGAAGAAGAAACGGTTTGCTTTGACTGCTTTATTTTTTTTCCCTTCAATTTTTTTTTTTTTTGGCTCGCAGTTTTAGCGTAATCACATAGTTGGCGGGGTAAGTCACGTGCGCTAGTGAAGTATACCCAGAACGGCTAATGATAGAGGACAGTAGGGGAGGAAGGGCTGGGAAAAGTGGTCTATGTATTCGTTGTGAAAGATAGAGTGTGGCAAGGCGGTATGGTATTGCTTATGGTGGCTCTTTCGTACGTTTAGGGTGACGCTGAAAGGTGCTGCTGAAGATGGTGCCCTTCCCTTTGGAGACTACTCGTGCTGCACTTCTCTCGGAGCGAGAAACCTCGGTCTCAGTATGAAGAGAGTGACTGGATGAGCTCAGGCGAAAATTCACAGCCTTTTCTATCAGAATGAGGAATTGTGCTGGTAAGAAACGTTAGATGAGCATTTCTGATTAGCTAGTAAACTTGTTCACTGGACAAATTGTCCCTCTTGGCTATGGCTATGGCCCTGTAGTGAAGAAAGCAGTTCGTACTAGCAGTGTTCGGAAGTAGCTTTTTTGTGTCACATGTCTGGGGCTAACCTTAAATTTCGCAGCCATTCGTTTGGCACATGACAAGCACTAGAGTGTTTAGGAAAAGAAGGTAGGCGAGAGGAGAGTACAATTGGACAGGTGCAAGGCTTAGGATAGTATTGTTGTGAGGGTATGGTGTGCTGAATTCTCATGTTTCCCATGAGAGCTGTCTTAGGTCGTTTCAAGGGGTCTTCGTTTAGATATTCTAGCGTTAGTATTTTTCACCATCTTCTGCAATTTATCAGTGAGAAATAACTTAAGCGATAGTGTGACAGATGTTGTTATTGAGAGGAGCAATTCAACCGGTATGAAGGTTTGTTTGGTCACAGACAAAGTTTCAGGTCTACAGCACCAGTACCAGTCAATTACATTTGAGAAGTGCATACGTATTAATCGAGACTGGTGTACCACATTGCGTACTGCTCTGGTACTCTGTCCTTACTATCTTAGTGCTCACTCTTTCCTTCTCGGACCATCTCTTTCTCCTTCCCCTACATATTCTTTCCTTCCATTCCTCCTTCTTTCTTTCATTTCTTTTATTTCTTTGATTACTTTCTAAGTAACCTTGACTATGTACCTATCCACTTATCCCCTCGATTCAGCTACGGCAATGGCTCAGATGAACTACTGAGTCTATTTAAATGAAGATAAACATCAGTTCCATAGCCCTCCATAGAAATTAACTTCAAATCACCTCCAAAATATTGCGCATATAACCTTGAAATTGGTAACCCGTACCCAAACCCAGCCATTGGTGCCTTGAATGAAGTCTGATTGTATTCAGGTTCCAAGACAGGCGTTTCACTAACAGTGGTGTATAAATAAGTCCAAATCAATGGAGTTTCACTTCTTGCAATTCCACCACCTTCGTCACTAATCTTTACTGCAATGTCTTCTGACCCTTCCAGTATAATAACCTTGATCGGCGGAAATTTTAAGTCGTTTATATCAATTTCATCAAACTTCAAGTCCGGATCTTCTTCACACATCTTGGCCTTAAGCTTTGGGGTATGGAATTCAATGGTCGCTCTAAGCGAGTTCTTCAACGTTTCGAACAACATATGAATTAAATGGCCGGGCACATACATGAAATTGATATCGTTTCCTGGAGCAATAAGCTGTATTTCAGGCGCATCGAACAATCCATAATATTCTTCACAGATGTACTTGGCGGTCTCAATTGCATCGGTAGCAATTTCTCCAACGTTACAGTCAGTACAAATGACCCCGACATAGTTGGCCTGTCCATTCTTTTTGTTCGAATTGTTGTTATTGTTATTGCCATTGCTTCCATTTAAGAACTTATTGATCTTGGCCTTTGCTGGTGAAGCCTGGGCCATATTAAGAGCGATATGCTGTCCCATGAGCATTCTGATACCAATTCTGGACATGTAGAATCTGTCCAAAAACGTTTGAATGGATGAGTTGACATGAATAGTTTGATTGTCGTGTTTCCACTCTTGTACACCTTGTGCCATAGTGGCCACAGTAGCATCATGTCTCTTTTTGATCTTCGTGAGAGCATCATAGACAGATTTATTGTAGTCGTAAACTTCCTTGGGCCAGATTATGTTTGTAGGGCATGAGGTGTAGTAGGTCTTACCAAAAGTAGGCGATTCGCTTCTCAATTTGGAATTGATACCTACTTTCGGCGATAACGACGACGATGAGAGCGAACTGGACGACGAAATGTTGTGGTTTTGGTGGCTAGACGGTCTCACCACTATCCCGTCATCGCTAAACACATTGTTTATTGCAGGGTTGGCCAGCTCCAGATTGGCAGGATTCAATGTTTCCTGAACCACAGTTTTATCGTCTTGTATGAATGTTGAAGTTTCGCTGTCTTTCAACTTCAATTGCCTGTCTAAGGCACCGTTGGTGTTGAGTAACTCTGCTAAGTGGGCCGAAATCTCAGGCTTTGGCAAATTGGTCAACTCTTCGAATGACTGTGCGTACCAGTTCTTTACCTTTACAGTGGATGGCATTTTGTTGAGCCCCAAGGGAGCATTGTCCAAATCCTTAACCTTGAGCGCCAACCTGATGGGCAATTCCTCCACTATGAACTGTGAAGCGAGGAAGATAGAACCTGGAGAAGGGTTCGGTCCAAACTGGACCATCTGTCTTAGTGACACCGACGTCTGAGGATACAGCGCATACCTGTAAATCTGCTCGCGCAAAGCCTTAGTTAGCTCCCAACCTGTCCCCATAATGTAGAGCGTCCTTTCCTTTGTATGTTCAGCGTATTATGTGGCCACCTGAAAATTTTGCTGTTGCTTTCTTTTGTTTCCTCTGGTGCCTGTTTTCTCCGCTGTTCCGGGGTACAGTAGGAATGACAAAAAATATATAGAATTTTTATTAGAAAAATACACAGTACGTTTCCGAAGCCAGTCTATTTCCGTACGATAACAACCTAGAACGATATCGGACTTTGTTATTGTATTTCCTTTTGATGATACGATTTGTGGTCCCAAGTTCCGTTTCCCCAGATTCAAGAAAGATGGAACGAAGCCCACGAAGGTTCGGGGAAAAGGCTGGCGCGCGCACGACCGTCGCTATGGTTGTCAGGCATTCTGTGCAGGGAATGGTTACACACATACATATGCCAAACAGCGTAGGGTTAAGATAATATGGGGTAAATAAGGTCTATACACTATCAGAAATAAGAAGTCGGGGAGTGGGCGGAGAAGAGCCAAAAGCTAGTATTGTTGCAAAGTAGGGAGAATACGATGCAGGGAAATGAAAATATAATTCAATTGAAGGCATCTTAGGGAGAATTGCCTATGTCCCTTGAAACAGCCAGTTTCTTTTTATCTCTCGGGTATACTGAAAAATTTTTCGTCCACATCATTTTTTTTTCCCGTTGTTTTGTTTAACCTTAAAAGCTTCCGTAGCTCCTAAAAACTTAGTCATAGGCGGGAAAAATCTTCATTGCTGGAAAATTTAGTGAGTAAATTAGTGAGCAATGCGAAAATTTTTACCAGTGTTTTACCACGTTTTTTCCTCGGCCCGCAGGACCGATGACGTTTTCGCGCAAAGAATGCGCAAGAATCCAAGAATGACTCTATTTTGAGTCAACCTGATTTCGCAGCGGATCTAAGGAGATCTGGGGTAAAAGGGTATATAAGGAGAATGGAATTCTTAAATCCTGGGACATTTTCATTATTTTGATCAACAAACATTTGAATAATCAATAGTTTACCCAATTCGAAAGAATACACACTTACAAGTTCTTACATATACATATACACACATACACGCGCAATGGCTTCTAGACAAATATTTAACATCTCTGCCTTCAGAACTGCTTCCAGATGTTGGTTACCAGTGAACGCAAAGCAAGTCTCAGTCCCAGCTACTCTTCGTCACTTTTCTTCAAGACAAAGATCTGTAAACTTTGCCAACGTGAGAGAAGTCAGCGTTGTCTCTAATGACACTATCTTGATACAACAGATAGAAGAGCACCCAGACACTGAAGGATTCGAACCAACAGTTTTCTCATCGGAAGAAGTGCACACTCCTGGTCCAGTGAACCGTGGCTAATCAAAGAATTAAAACAAAAAAAAAAAATAAAATAAAACTGACATACAATATAAATTAACGAATACGATTAGAACGGAAGGTTTGATACCTGTTACATAGTACTTAAAATAGCATGAATATATGATTACGAATAACTAACAATTGGTACAGTAGGACTTATAGAAAAATTTTCTTTTTTCATCTCTTAGCTAACTTCCGAAGCAGAGCTCTCGCTCCATACAATTAAACTTCTGATGCTCCCTCTCCACACAATTAAGCTTCTGAAGCATAGTACGTTATTTCCAGAATGCGGAAATACACATTCGGACTTCTATGCCCGGCAGAAGATACTACTGTGAAATTTCTTGAATCATCATCACAACCAGAGGTTGCTGTACCTTATTTCGTTTGCACGTTATGTCACTTTTTCCACCTTATATCACTTTTCATATGCAACAGCTCTCAGGGTACTTTCAGGGGGATTGGTATCCAACTTACCTCTGCGAGTTAAGTCTCAGGCAACCATAGCCCCAATTGCAAGGCTGCTACCATTACAGTTGTTTCACGTTCTGGAAGTGGGAGCACCTGAACGTCCTGCACGGTTAGATGACAGCCCTTTGATAAGAGATCCACACCCACACACCGGACTCACGTGATCTCACATTATTCCACGCCAAAATTCCACTCCCTGAAAACGACAGGCCTTTAGTAATCGCCTTGGACTAGTTTCCATTCCGTATATACAGATAAACAAGCACTACAGCGACTTTATATTCAGCATTTACTTTAAATATATTCAATTGCACCCCACCAATGTCGCTCTCTTCCTTAAAAGTTGCCTGTGGGCAGTTCTGTTCATCTTCTTCCTTGACTGCAAATGCCAGAATTGTCGTCAAGCTAATCCACAAGGCCATTGATCAGAAAGTGCAAGTTTTATTCTTGCCAGAAGCTGCCGATTACATTTCTAGAGATCCAAAGCATTCTATGAAATTGGCCAATTTCACTCATAGGGACTTTATATCAGTTATTCAGCAGGAATTGAAAACTTTACACTCCAAAGATCCGGAAAACAATTTATACGTATCGGTTGGTGTGCATGAACCTTCAGATACCGAATCAGAAACTGTAAATGAGCTTAAAAAAGTTCAAAACAACCAAATTTGGATCAATGCGAAGGGTGAAATCGTCCATAGGTATCAGAAGCTTCATCTCTTTGATATCAACATCACCAACGGGCCTATTTTGAAGGAATCTAACTCTGTAGAACCTGGTGATAAGATCGTATCCCCGTTCCCAGTGCTTGGTGATAATGAAGCCGCAACTGGTTTTAACATTGGTTATGCGATCTGCTATGACATTAGATTCCCTGAGCTTTGCTTAAGATTGAGGAAGCTTGGAGCAAATGTAATCACATATCCATCAGCCTTCACCACAAAGACAGGAGAAGTACATTGGCAAGCGCTAGGCAGAGCTAGAGCCATCGATAGTCAATGCTACGTTATCATGGCTGCTCAATGTGGAGAGCACAATGTGTATGCAGACTTAACCGATGACGAAAAGCTGAAATTACCTGCAGGAGACCAAAATAAGAAGAGAATTAGTTATGGTAATTCGGTAATATTTGACCCATGGGGTAAATTGGTTAGTGAATGTAAAGTATATGACGAGGATCTAAGTGGAGGCATAGACTCAGAAGGCGATTACTATGAGTTATGTACTGCAGATTTAGATTTGGAATATGTTGAGCAGATTCGTAAAAATATGCCTTTGATGGAACATAGGCGCCCGGAAGTTTTTGGCTATGAAGTATAGAGTGGATAGAAATATGAGCTTTAAATTCTTGTAATATCGTATGTAGCAAGGCTTGTGACTGGGTTCAATTGTATTCTAATATCGTATGTGTGACTATATTTGTAGTGTCTGTATATGTAAAATGCTATTACTCGCTGCTAGCACTTTGGCTTACACTCAACTCGATTTGCACCCAAACAATTGAAGAGTACTGTACACTGTGAGCCCAATCCTGCAAATATCTATACAAGGCGAAGCATGACGACTGGCTTCGGTTGTAAATCAGAACCTCGCAACAGAAGGTGAAATATCAACAGAGATAAGTAACGAGAAATATTTCGTGTTTTTACATTAAGCGTGCTTCATTCCATACGATGGCTAGAGCGTATATTTGAAATTTTCGTCCTTATGTCGTTTAGCTTTTTTTTTTAAAACTTAATGAAGATCAAGAAAAAAATTACCAATTTACTCCAGAGCCACTACCTACATACTTTACTCTTTCCTTGAATCCAATTGTCAGGCACAAGTCACTTAAACAGTCTGCAGTGACCACAGAAGACAATTCAAAAGAAATAAAAAAGGAAATCTGTCATTCTTGAATCATAAACCCCGATACTTCTGCAGTCATGTCTTTCTTGTCAATAATTGAAAAGGTCGATACATTTCCTTACTTTTCTGCTTCTTCTGATTACTACACTTTGGTCACTCATGATGCATTGACACCAATTGGCTATATCACATCAGAAATTGCAATTTTCCTCTCTTTAGAAACAAAATATTTCAATGTAGATAGTCAACATAAGCTAATTAAGATTAGCCCTGATCTTGACACTTTTGAGAAGAGAAACGAAGCATTCGCTTTCGTCGGTGAAAAATGGAAAGTAGACCCACATTTTGAGATAGCCTTGGGGAAAGGCTGGAGGAATGAACTCTATGCAGTCTACGGTCCTGATCATACCCCATATCTATTGATAGAGAGAGCCGTTAGTGTCTTACTCGGTGTTAATACATATGGAGTTCATATCAATGGATATATTGAGCCGCAAAATACGTCTAACGGAAAGTTGAAAGTGTGGGTTCCTCGTAGATCTGCTACGAAGCCAACCTACCCTGGTAAATTGGACAATACAGTAGCAGGAGGTATAGGATATCCTCAAGGAATATGGGAAACAGTAGTTAAGGAATCTTTTGAAGAAGCTGGGTTGAATGAAGAATTCGTGAAACTGCATACCAGGGCTAATGGTGTGGTTCTGTATATGATTCAACCATCATTGAACTCGTCAGTACCACCAGAAGGGTTAGTCGTCCAACCAGAAGTAGAATATACGTTCGACTTAGAATTTGATAATGAAACTGATGTCGTTCCCCAGCCCGAAGATGGTGAAGCTGAATCGTTCCATTTAATGGACGTAGATGAGGTGCTTGAAAGAATACGTAATGATGAGTTTAAGCCCAACTGTGCTTTAATTTTCATTGACTTTTTGATTAGACACGGTGAAATTACAGCAGAAAATGAGCCAAACTATACGGAAATTGTCTCCAGGTGCCATAGAAGGTTGCCATTTCCAACCAAATAGGATTTTCAAGTATGAATGGGCCCATAGATAGAAGATAGGGTGTAGTATCGTTTCGAGATAGAGCAATGAAATTTTAAATCGGTGTACCTAGAGAATATAGAGCGTGGTAATTATGAGTCAGAGTACCAAGAGTGAGCATTGAATTGTAGGAGTTCCTCTATAGAACTATAAACATAGTATCTTCTTGCTAGTCATGTAGTGTGGTATTAGAGCTAGAGGGTTGTGAAATTTCGAATCAAATTCAGAGAGAACGCAGAAGGTCGCAATTTCCACGCAGTTCTGATAAGCACGGAATTATTTTACTTTAAAGTTTGGGCCCCCTGATAGAGATAAGAAATTATCATTATTTGATAGCCTAGCTTAGAAATAACCTGAGCCTGGGTCAACGGAGCATTGCTTTCTTTAGCTATCATGTGTCCTGGAACATCCAGAGCAGGAAATGCTTTCATGTTGATTACCCTTCTCAAACCTTCCATGCCGCAAGCACATGCATGCAGCTGATTAGTACTGCTCAGTTTCAAACTACCAAGGTAGGAGTAAGATGACTCTAGCCTTCTTACCGTGAGGGCAGCCGTGACAGTGGAACTCTACGGTTCAATCTGTATAGCAAGCTTCACCACAGATGCTCAGATACTGCCCAGTTGCTGCATTTATGGTACAGGGCCATGTTCCAGAGAGCCACAGGTCAGTGTGTCAAAGTGCCTGCAGGAATCAAACTGCAGAATTTAACGTATGGGCGCATCAGCACACAGCGCAGTATTACTCTTAAAAACCTTAAAACACGAACGGAGATTGCAGGGATCAGTACTTTGACACCTGTTAGTAGGCACCTTTATTGTGCTTACGGCAAAAGGGAAGTGTAAGAAAGACCTCAAAGTAGCAGAAAGGGATAGGAAAAGAAACAAGAGAATAAAAAGGAGTAATCTAGACTGTTGATAATGTGTCCCCCAACGTTATCAACGTGTGGTGCAAGTGCGCTTGTTCACTCTAATGTAAATAAAAAAAATTGCTGCGGAAATCAGCTCGTTATCAGCAATACTACCAGTTGCGTTCCAGCGAGTTCCACCGACTACCTCGTTTAGTATGGGCAGTCCCAAGAGAGTCTCCTATTTCTGCTCTACAAAAATACTATGAACGTTCTATGTACAGAACCAACTCCCCGCTATCGACCCTACGAACCCCTCCCATGGCAAACAGAAAGAAGTGAAAAGGCAAATACCCCTCCTCCCCTCTTTCTATATACAGTAAAGCACAAGGGTTTGGCCAAAAATTGGAAAAAAGAAAAGGAGCGGTCTATTTGGCCTGCACATGAAAACAAATTTTGATAGCAGCGTGGCTTGCTGTGCAGGCAAGGGGCCCATTCTCGGAAAATCTTTTCATGCAATTCTAGTCCATTTTCCATCGGAGTTGGCAGGCAGAGCAAGGGCCACCGAGCTAAGCTGACGAAGGACTTGGTCAATCGTTTGGCCCTTTTTAGTGCAGTGCCACCGCAAGGCTAGCGTAGAAATCTAGAATGAAATGGGGGAAATGTGGGAAATGCTGGCACAAGTGGTACCACCTTCGCCTATGTTTGCCATTCTAATAATACTTTAAACTTACTGAGTTTGAGTTTTTGTTTGTTTTTACCTTTCTGGATTTGTGGCTGTACTTTTTACCCAAACGTCGTTTAGATGAGGAGATTCAAGGGAGGGGTGGGAAAATTGAGTAATTAAGACTCACTAACTATGCGCGCACGCCAAAAAAAACCAGTTTTTTTTTTTCAGATTTTTGTCGCCTTCTGTATGGAAGACACAGAAAAAAATGTTGGATCGGATAAATTATGCACGTATATAAAAGAATTTGGAATGCCTTAGGTTTGACATTTAGTTTATTTTTAATCTTTTTTTCTTTTCTTTCTTTGTTTCTGCTTCTTGCTTTCGTTATCTACCTTATCTTTTTGTGAACCTTATCACGAATACCAAATCTATATTACTTCAACAGTTAATATTATACAAAGTTGATTTAAGCACAGATCACAGGCCACACACGTTCTGATATCACACACATAGAGAATCTAATTAAAGTGTGCGAAAAAAATTTTATTTTTCTTATCGCAAAGGGCTGCAATCAATTTTTTCGTTTATAAGGCGGGTACTAGGATTCCACTTTATAAGAGAGACATATTAACATAACAACAAACATCTAATCGTTGTCAGTTCAAACCAATTCAATTCTATTCTATTAATGATGAACTCGATCTTCCGTTCTTTCAAGGCCACGAAGCCACTCAACAGGATCACATTCTACCACAACCCAAATTCTGCCGCTTCGCTTTATCTTTTGGAAAAATTAAATAGATTCTCGGAGTTGCCCTCAACCTTCAATAGGTATGGTGGTGCTAGTCAAGCTTTACCACCACAAGAATTAGGAAAGTTTTCTGTGGAACTCAAGGAATCTAAGATTCCAACTTATGAAGAATACACTCAAGTGCATGACTTTCTTCACATGCACCCAGAGAATGCTCTTTCCTTTGAGCAAGTATTCCCAGTGATGTTTGACTCTGAGACTCATACATTGTGCAAGAAGACTGCCACTAACACCAACAAGCAACAGAAGTTTTTGGGTGACTTGGAAACATTCAGTCGCGAAGAATATGAAATGATTCACAATGCATTTAAGCAACAGCCTCACGGTAACATTTTCCGTGCACCATTGGTGGTTGATTGGGAGAACTCCCTCATTGCTGTAGGCGAAAAGGGCTTAGATAGAATAATGGCAAATTACTTGTCCTGTGGTATTCAGGATACTGGCAAGGGAGACTACAATTACAGCTACAAGGCAAACAATCAGAGGAAGAACACCGTTGATCAACACAGCCATACACATGTACATCCACATGTCGCTGAGTTTGCAGACTTATTTTAATGCTTGCGAGAGAATATGATATAGGAATACTAAAGATAAAACGGAAAAAAAATACAAATACATACATAACTTTATAGAATTGTCAAAGGGTGACATATAATAATAATAAATAATACTAATAATGATAATAAGTTATTAAGCATAACGTAATAGATATAAATAAACAGTAATGTAATGCTTAAGAGCAATGGAGAGTACACGTTGGAAACATATACCCGTGGTTCATTTTAGCCCTTTACGAGAGGTTTCAGCTGGAACCGCATCGCGGTAACTGTCGCTGCATAGGAAATTTTAGGCTTATTTCTTAAGTATGTAGGAGGTGCATGAACCTAACACTCCGATAAGAACAGTCCCAAACAAACAACAGTGAAGGACGGAAAACATCCTGTTATCAGTTGTTGAAGTCTGAGCAGTTGGTGACACCCAAGTATGTGTTTGCGGGATAAAGAAAGCTACCACTTCTTTTTCTTTAATTGGGTACACCTACCTCCTAGTGACACTGAGTAGACCGTTCTTCACTTTTACTGTCTCGTCTTCCCTGCATGACTAGCCACATTGTGCAGCAACCATGCGCATTGAGTTCCTACAAACTGAGCAGAAGTACGTGATTCCATTGATTATTAGATAGTGAAGTAAAAGAAAACTTATAGTAGAATAAAAACAAGAACATATCAGCAAGTGCTTAATAACCCATCCTCTTGATTACATACTGTTGAGCCAAAACCCCAAAACTTAATGATAAGCCATCCTTGATCCAGTCCTTCACCCATTCACTTGGGTTTATATTCTCGTCAGCCACTTTTCCTTCACCGCTTAACCATTGAGCCCATACCAAAGGAAAAGGTTGGGTTTTCGTGATTATTGTCACATTATTAGTAATATCCTTCAAGATTAACGTAAACGAGAAACTGTCGTGGTTATTTGACTCTATCAAAATTGGTCCGTCGCTCTCAGATTCAACCTTTTCTTCGGTGTTAGTTTTACTGGTGATTGCCTGGATTGAGATAAAGATATTTGATTTATTGATGGACGATTCAGCGGAGGCTACACTTGTATCCTGTCCTACGCCGTCTTCAGTCTCAGTGCCCTCCTTTCCAGCCTCTTCTACGCCATCCACCTCTTTCTTAATTTCTACTAAATTGTAGGTGGAATAGTCTTTGATGCAGCTTTCTAAGTTGGCAAAGCACAATTTTTCTCCGTCAATGATCTTTCCATAGAACAAGTTCAAGTTCTCAACGTCGTCACTAATCTCGCCTTGTTTGTGATTGAAGTTGTTCACAGTGATTCTGATTCCACCTTCCACCTGGTTCATGACTTTATTGAACTTGTTAGAGCACTCTTTGTCCAAGTAGTTGACGTTATCCAAATCATGGATCAATAAGATGTTCAAAAGCTCGTCGTCGGGCCCAATCAACCCCTGGGTGATCTGATGTGACATGGTACTCAATACAGAGTTCAACTTGTCTCCCAAGTAGTCCAATTGAGTAATCTGTTCCGGGTTGAATTTGTTTTCTTTCAATATCTTCTGCCTCTGCTGCGATAATTGGTTGGAAGTGTTCGATGCTAGTTGGTAAGTTTGGTCTGAGATCTGCTGGGCGTTGGAAGCGATGGATCCCCAGAAGGAAGACACCTTGTTAGAGCCCTCTTTGGACCACCAATTAGATATCGAGCCTATAGGGTCAATTTCGTTGTCCTCACCTTCGCCTGCAGTGGCAGCTGTAGCAGAAGCAGCGGCGTCAACAGCAGCACCATCTTCTTGCTCGAGTTCGTCTACGCTCTTCAAGGCTTCAGGGGATGTCCTTGTGCTATCCACCTTTTTCGGTTCAAACGATGCCTTTGGCTTCAGTTTGGGTGTGGCCGGCTTAGCCTTTTCGTGGGCTGCAAGTTCATCCAAAAAATCTAAGAACTCTTCCTTGTTCTCCTGTTTGTCGCCCTTTGATGATGCTGTGGTGGGCTTGGGTGTGCCTGACTTAGAATCTGGCAACGAATTGATGAAATCCAATACATCGTCGGTATCTTTTTGAGGTGCCATCTTGAAGTTAGCACGTAATGATTGAATGAAACGTATAAACCAGCGTGATACAGGGGGTTCTTGGTGCCTTTCTCCTGACCTTCTTTGTGCCTTACTCCTTCGTTCCGTTTCGTTTCGCTTTCTTTTCGTGTTGGCAGATAAAACAGAGGATCTGTGTGCAGGAGACCCCAGGGCCCTCTAGGAGAAAATGCACAGAAGTGACATTTTGTCACGCAGGACAATTATTTTTGACAAAAGAGTGAAAAAAAATGACATTCGACTCTTCTAACCACCAACCATAGGACTACCAAGATGCACCCTCAGTTGGATAGAAGGAGATTCGAGTCTTGCGAGAAGCTTATGGATGCTTTGGAGGAATGCCACAGAAAGGAGTTCATCATGAAGGCCATGGGCTTGTGTAATTTCGAGAAGGACGAAGTTGCAAAGTGTTTGCACTATGTGAGAACCGAAGATGCTAAAGACAGAATCAGGGACTCGAGAGAGAAGATGAAGCAACAAGAGTTGAGGAGAAAGCAAAAGGAAGAGGAATTATACGGAAAGAATGGATATTTGAAGAAAATGATCGAAAGAGAAGCTGAAAAGAAAAGTAAATAAGAAGTAAGCCATGGTACTTCGAAGGCCATGCTCGTATCACACTGTACATAGTTAATCATAATAGTATGAAAGGAAGAAGACACTGCGGTAGGTTTATAGGCTCTTTATCTTTCTGTCTCCCTCTCTGTTTCTGTCACTATCTCTCACACTCCAAGTGTATATGTCTGCTTGACCCTGTCCTTAGGCTGACCACCGTACTCCAGTTACTACAGAGTGACCAACACCCTTCCGACCTACAAGTGCAAACTCTGCTCTGCTCTGCTCTTCTCTTCTCTTTATTTTATCATTTCTCTTTATTTTCTATCTACAGACCTAATCTTGTCTCGTTCTCAACGTTCTCTTCACCACCTTATCCTTGGTGACTATGTAAACGACTGCCCCCCATCCAGATAATGCATCTCTATCCACGGCATTCAATAACGCCTGACTGATGGTTTCGAATAAGTCTTCTGGCTCCAAGTTTGGCTCGTACAAGGACTCACACATACCGTACAACTGGTCAGTAGCGGTACCACTGACGATAAAGTCCTTGGCGAAATCAATGCACCCAATCAAGTCAAACCCACAGATAAATGGCTTGCTAGTCTTGGAATCCAACCCTGCTACAATAGGCCCAATGAAGTATGGGCCAAATCTCTTTTCATATAAAGTGGAACTAACCAAGTTGGCCAAGGTTTGGGGTTCTATCTCTCTCTCCTCACGGAGGTTGTACAAATTATTCTTCAATCTAAACGTTTCCTTCAACGTGATGACATCTGATGCCAACCCGGTCAATGCCATGAATGTCTTGTCTCCAAATTGGAAAACCTTCTCAAAGTTGTTTGCCAATCCCAAAGATTGGTTTCCCAAACGTAAGTCTGATGCTATAGCTATACAATCTTTACCAACCATGGCCACGGCGGTACCACCGTTGATAGAACTTGGGTCTGACATCGTGCTTTTTGCTTTTTTTGGAGGTTTACTGGTCTAAAATTAACTTGAGAATCGCCTGATATGCTCAATTAGATGAAATGATGTGATATAAGATGAAATAGTTCGACTTTGCTACTTTATCAGTGTTGTTTCCACGCTCCGTTTCTGCGTTGTCTTTGGCTCTCGATATTCGCCTTCCAAGGTCGTGCGCGGACGCTCTTGTATATGCAGGACGTTCAGATACGTTCTGTTCAGCAGTGGCATGGGCAGGACAGAGGAGAGTCTACAGTGATTCGTGTTCACAGTAATTCAATTAGTTCATATATAAATACGTGTAAGTATACGGTGTTAGTGGGGCTACTTGGTGCATTATTATTGATTCTGGACTTTTTTGTCAGCATTTTCCCGGTCCTTCTTCACCATTAGGTGCATTCTTTTTTTTTTTTTTTTTTTTTTTTTTTTTTTTTTTTCACTTTATTTTTCAGTGGTTGCAATTTTACGAGTGCTGCAGTTGTACACTGGTTCTCTTGAACCACCTAGAGTTGTCATCTCACTACTGAAGCTACCTAGAGTTGTTCAGCTGATTATCTTTCTCTCCCTAAAGAAGTCGATGATCTCTTCCGCAACTTCCTTGGCGTGACTCAAACTAATGAAGTGGCCCCCATCTATTTTCACAACCTTCACATCCTTCGAGTCCCTCTTGTACGCATCAGCTCCTTCTTCAACAAAAATCACATCGTTTTTACCCCATACAGCAAGAATCGGAACGTTGGTTGCTCTGAAAAACTTTTGGAATTCTGGATAGAAGGTTAAATTCTTTCTGTAGTCCAAGAAATATGCCAATTGAGTAGATACGTCATCCTTAAACTCGGCAGCTGTCAAGTGATCGCAAATTCGGGGTTCACTCTTGAAAGATCGGGCTCACCATGAGCATATTGACTTTGAAATCCGCCCAACCCAAGCACTTCGCTACCAGCTTCAGCTACAATATCCTTGAACTTCTTGGAGTCGGAATCCAGAAGCTTACCTCCGTCGGCAATCCGCTTATCTTCCAAGTCCCACAAAATTTGAAGTGGTGCCCAGAAGTCTTTACCCAATCCCTCATCGTAAGCATTTCCGTTTTGAGAGATGATCGCAGTTACATTCTGTGGCTGCTTTAAAGCGACCCTTAAACCAGTGGGAGCACCATAGTCGAAGATATAAATGGAAAACTTCCCAACCTTCTTTTCTTTCAAGAATAGCTCGACTGTGTTGCCCAAGTTTTCAAACGTATACTCATATTTGGCACCCGCTTGCACTCTTGTTTGTCCGTACCCTGGCAAATCTGGTGCTAGGATGTGGAAATGTGGAGAGAGCAAAGGAATCAACTTTTGGAACTGTCTAGAGGAAGTTGGAAATCCATGGAGCAACAAAAGAGTGGGTTTTCTTGAATCTCCTGACTCAACGTAAAATAAGTCTACCCCATTGGATAACTTAGTTGTATTGTAATTAATTGTGGACATCGTCTTAAGGTTTTGAAAGTGCGTATGGTCTTTTTCTTGTTAGTACTACAGAATTGCGCATATACAAAAATAATTGGAAAACGGTTGCATTTCGCCTTTTAGACCTACACTTATATAGTTCAAAGGAATTCTTTCCTTCAACTGATTACAATTGATTACACTTCCAAATTGCCCATTGCAGGGGTTGCATGATGTAATTCCAATATATATGTATGAAAGTGGGGCTTTCTTGCATTATGAAATTTATTTCATTACTAATACAAACATAAACATTATTTTTTCGTCAGCTACAACTCTACAAAACTCTAATCCAATTCTGGGACAGTCTTATTCTACCTGTTGGAATCTAGAAGGCTAATTACAAGAGGAAATGTCATGGAAAAGTGGTATGCCTAAAGTATAATGAAGTTTCAAGTTCTAATCCACACATTCAATGATCCTGAATTGCATCACATTCTGGGCATGCCGTGCATTTAAAGAGAGCTTGTTCTAAAGGCCGATGTACATGGTAATATTTTCATTTATTTGTCAACACTATTGTATATTTGACTTACTTAAAACTGATCCCTAACTAAAATAAAACAAACTTGATTAACGAATTGAATATGGCACAATAGTAAACTGATACCTAACTATTAAAAAAATCATTAACACTACTATTAAAATCAAACTAATTTAAAAATTAAACAACCAAATCTTAATTATTATTACATCCCTTTCACCTAAAATATTGAATCCTGACCTTACATCTTTCCTATTGTTTTTTAATTCGGATTTTTTCGGATTTTTTTCTTTCTTTTCTTATTTAATCGGAGACTTTCACAATGTGTGCCCTTGCAACATTCAAAGTTTGTTGTTGGACAGTCTTTATAGAGCCATTGGACATGGAAATTGCGGAAAGTGGAGATGCAGCTGGTGGGATCCCTCTTTCTGGTGCAGTATCTGAATCAGGTTCATCTTCCTCAGTGATAGTGTTTGTGCTATGACTATGCATGATGTCTTTGTCACTAATCCCATTGGTTTCAGCTTGTGATTGGGATTGAATCAATTTGGTGACTGGCAGTTCATTGTCCTTGTAATTTGCCAAGGTAAAGGTCTTTGGAGACTTAACCAATGGAAATTGATTGTTTGGATCATCAAGATTGATATTTCCCTTTCTAATTTCACTCAAGTTATTTAATGAACGACTTGATGCAAATGTTGGAATGATCTTACCAATATCCTTCAAGTTAATGAACAACTTGCCAATTTCAAATTTAACCAATTGAGTCAATTCAGAATCTTTACTTTCTAAGTTTTCTCCATCAATAACTTGACCTGTAGTTGCTACTTCAACTGAGCCCGCATTGGAACCATTGTTGCTTCCCTCCATTTCAGCATCATCAATTTCTTCATTATTGTTAGCTTCCTTATCTTGATCCTCTAAATCAAATCTCAATTGCAATCCGAATCCTAAAACAATTAGATAATTTTTGTATTTGTTCAATTCAAATTTGTACTGTTCGTTTTTAATTTCATAGTTGTTTATAATCTTATGATAATTAGATGAACTTTGAACACCTTTGAAATTGAAATTCTTGACAAACCTTGCCTTGATGAGGTTGAAGTCTTTATAATGTCTTTTCAAGTTATTATAGTAGTTCAAAGTGCATACAAATTGTTTCATCATTCCCAAATGGTTATCAGAGCCACTATTCAATTCGTTACCATTGGTAACCATGTAGTTACTCAAGAATGTACCCTGTGGTAACTGTTCCCACTTTTGAATGTTCTTCAATTTCTTAAAGTTGTCTTTATTTGCAATCAAACCTTCTAAATTGGTCCAACCGTATTCAATAGAAGAAACACTCTCTTCTAATGTAGGGATAGCAGTAATCTTAGAAGCCCAGAAGTTACATGTGTTGATAAATTCTAAGGCAACCTCAGTGGTACCAGCTTCAAAAATAAACTTCTTAGGTTGCTTTTTAGATACCTTTGGAAAAGTCAATGACCATAATACCTTATTAGAGTGAGCTCCACTGCTGCTTCCTCCACTAGCCAGAGAAACATTCTTTTCCAACTGTGCAAGTGTGGAACATAAGTTATAGTTACCAATGTTTGCAGCGTTCTTTAACCAGTTACCATCTCCAATAATCTCATCATCACTTTCGTCTTGAATTTGTTGGTTCTTGTGCATCTTCTTCAATTTTTGTTGATGCTTCTTGATGACCTTAGGGTCAAATGAATACAATTGTAATTCTCCCTTGGATACAACAACAAAATTCTCAACAAATCTACTGGCTGCAATAGTCAGAGAACCTGCAGTAGCACTGCTTGATAAACCTGATGATTGTTGCTGAGCTGGTGCTGAAGTCTTAGTGAAAAATGAGAAAAATCTACCGGTGGCAGTTTGTGGTTGTGGGACGTTTGGTTGACTGATCTCTTGGGTATTAGTTGTAGAGTTATCTAATTGATCGTTATGCAAAATCTTCAATCTCAACAAACCTTCCTTCAAGTATGGAGACCCTTGTAACTCCAAAGTTAAATCGTATTGATCTTGATAATCTTCAACATTGAAGTCGTCAAGATGTTGCTGGCGCAATTGGAATTGTTCTTCACCGAAGTTCATTTCATTGATGTTAAATGTATCTAAGGATAACACTGATAATGTATCCTCACCATTTAATGAAGCGTTAGATTCTCTGGAGATTATAGAAGCCCTGGAAGATCTCTTGTTTAATGAATTAGAATGTAATGAAGTTGGTCCTGGTGCGCCTCTTAATTGATTTAATGATTGTCTGTTACGAACTGAGTAAGGGATATTTCCTAAACGGGAATCAGATCCATTGTAGTACTTTTGATTATTTTGGTCAGAAGCCAAAGCTCTAGTGAAACCTACTCTAGCCGAGTTTCTAGTTCCACCGAGGGTAGAGCTTGAGGTGTTGGCTGCAGTATATTGGCTTACTGCTGACGAAGTTGTAGACATTCTCTTCATGGACAAGGATTGTCTGCGGTTTCCATTAGTATCAGTGGACCAAATGGAAGAACCTGAAACTTGTCTAGATAAGTTTGGAAATTCATTCATATCATTGATATTATTCAGTGGAACTGGAGGTAAAGGTCTTTGGATTGATGCTTGAATACTATTATTATTATTATGGTCCTGATTATTTGAATAATTTCCGTTAGAATAGTTACCTGCACCATTACCATTGGTATTATTGTTCGTATTGTTACCGTTATCTCTATAGCTGTTGATAATCGACCCATTATCTCTAGATAACACTGAATCAACTGCAGACATTCTTTTATTTCTTTGCTGATGCTTCAATTCGTTTTGCTTGGCCATCAAGTTAAAATCTCCACCGTTCAGTGGCTCGTCGCTCTGCTTCAAGTGTAATTCGTTCTTACTCAAATCTTCATAGTAAGTACTCAAAACTCTTTCGATGGTAATTCTTTGCTTGATGCTCAATTTTTTCAGCAGCTTTGGATTCTGTTGGATAAAAGTACTGAAAGTGTTCTTAATGTAGTCAGCTTGACTAATCTTGGACTTTTTGTTCAATTCTGAGTTGTGTAACGCAGTGTTAAGCAAAATCAACGAATACAACACAATGTAAATCTTTTCAAAGTTTCTAGTACAGAACACATTTGTAGGATGTTGCTTGATGTAAGACTTGGTAAAACTTGATAAAATTCTATCAATTTCTTGTGATTCACCCTTCAAATATAATTTAGAGCAGAGCATTCTGGTGGACTTCAACAAGTTGGCATCCCATTGGAAGAGATCCATGTAAAATTCTCTAATATTAGTAGATTCATTGTCGTTAGCAGCTAAGAATTGGGTATATTCTTCAGGCTGAATGGAAACAAATTCCTCTTTAAACAACTTGATGGCAATCTCCTTCTGTTCAGCTTCAGGAGATAATTCTTCATTGGCGGTTTCTACGCTTTCATCGGTGGAGGTAGTTTTGGCGTCTACATTAGCGTGCGCTGATGAGCTTTCATCCTTGATAGTTTCTAAATTGGATGGATTAGCAGCTCCATTGGCTTGGAATTTCTCAGCACCAACCGAATGGGATGGTGAAGGCGGGGTGGATGGGGGAGTCAAATCGTGACGAATAGCCCCAGTCGAGTTATCATCTGCAGTCATGGCTGGAAAACAATGTTAGTAAACTAGAAGATCACTTGTGTGCAAGCAGGGTAAGCAAGTTAACGAGATATAAAAATAATGAAACAAAAAAAGGTGTGTAGAAAGTGTATCCAGTGCCTAATGCGAGTATGGCCAGTAGGGATAGATAGCAGGGTTAAATTAGTTGCTCTCTTTGTGTTTCGTCTATATTGTCTTCCAAATCAAACAATAGACGTTTTTTTTTTTCCTTCGATGAATTTGCTTTCTTTGTCAAAATTTTCCACTTTTCTAGCCCTGTGATCCTGAAATTGTTCCAATCGATAAAAGTGCTTGTAAACTAAGGCAAAACTACGAATATCCTTCCAGTTGCTTTTTATTTATACTAGATTGGGACAAATCCGCTTCCTTTTTTCGATGTGATTTTCGGCTTGGTAAAATTTTCTACGTTATAGCCGCTTGCCGCGTCAGGACTGTAGATTTTAGGCTCTGTAAAATTGCTGGACGAAGTAATGGAAAAGACGCTTATTTTAAAAACTGATCCTTACTTACCTGTTATATTGTTTGATTAGCACTTGGTGAAGGAAAAGGGCAAAAGAAATGAGATTGAAATTAAGCGGACCGTTTTCCAAATAAATACAATATACGTGGAACAATGAAACTTGCAATCGGTGAAAAATTAATATTTTTTGTCTGTTTACTGTACCAGTCAATTGGTTGTCTTGAGCACTCGTCTAAATTTTAACTCTTTTTACTTTTTCCCTATGATTTTTATGCTCGCAATCTGTAATACGATCAAATTAGGCAAAAAGGATTAATGGATACACTGCAGCAATAAAAAGGCAGACTACTTACTGTTCGAATAACTTTTGATTATAACTTGAAAATAATTGAAGAAAAGGGAGAAGGAAGAAGAAGAAGAAAATAGCAAACAGGAAAGAAAAGGGAAATAATTTTTAAGAAATGTAATTCACAGAATTCTGTGCCTGGTGCTGAAGAAAATTAAAAAAAAAAAAAAAAACAAATGTAAAAAATAAACATAAACGAATAAGCCAATGTGGTCACATTACGCATTTAATACATGAGTATTCGTAAAAATGGGGTGAATAATAGAACAAAAAAAAAAAAAAAAAAAAAAAAAAAAACAGACGTAGTACACGTAGTACACGTATCTCGTCCCAACTTCTTTTATTGTCGTACACTTACAATAATGCAGTTGAGTAATTTCATGCTTATTTCATCGCCTGTAATTCTTCTGATGTGAGAATGCTAAGTATAGAACTATAGCAATTAATTGAGGTGTTGTCAAAGTCAATGTCTGGAAGTGCCTCAGTCCTCCAAGGAAACGCGATACCCATATAATTTTCGAGGCGAGAGACTGCAATAGGGTGCGATCATGCAGGTACACTGTGCAGTATCCAGTGTAGCATGTAGCACATGAACATTAACCTAAAGAAAAGTGGTGAGGTACCTTGGTTAATTAAGAAAATGGTTGTGCTAACGGCACCGGACAAGTAATTAAATTTAAGCTCCTGTTGAATGAAATTTTGAAACTGGAACCTTAATCAGTTTCTTCTTGTAGGGGAATTTTTAGGGCCAATGGCAATGATTTTTTCCACTTCTAGTAAAGAGTCAGAACTTAATTATTGATCCATCAAGGGGGCTGTGACCACGCCTGTCTATTTCATCCTTTCCTTGATAGTGAACAAAGGCTCTAAGCGTGGCAGTCAGATTTATAAAATAAAAATACGAAACTAGTAAGGGGACCTGGAATGTGCATAAAAAAGTGTAGCTCTTTTGTATGGACAATGAAATTAAAGTGGAATTTTTTTTTCTTTTCTGTTTCACAATAGTCACGTGAGTTATCGCGTGATGCCAGTAGTGCTGCACAAGGACATGAGTATAAACAGTAATTTTAACTTCTACACTTCAAGTGAGGTGGACAATTGTCTTATTTGCTAGTTATTTCTTAAGAGTTAATGCATGAGTTGTATATATGTGTTTACTCAAGTTATCTCAACATTGTTATTCTATGTTACTGTTTAACTTCATTATCTTTTGCATTCGATTTAGCTAATTTCTCCTTTTCTTCCTTTATCAGCCCTAACTTGATAGTGTACAATAAAATTATGTTAGTTAGTACTATCCATGCTACTAGTACTCCTATATTTCTCCCTAGTGCGCCCTTCCATGTATCGAAGAATACTACTCTCAATGCTTCAAAGACATTGAACATAGGTAATGCATATCCATATTCATAGAATCTAGGACATAAGTCCAACGCAGAGAATGTTGGTGATATATTGACAATAACAAACACCACCATCCATATTGGAATGTAGCTGACTTTTCCATAGGAGAATAACAATAGTACCATGTTCTCATTGATGCCCCCACATGCAGATATAAATAAGAACATAAACATCCATAGTACTAGAAATCCAGAATATCCAAAAACGTGTGACACTGGAACCCGAAAGGCTATAGTGACTAATGCATACACTAATGAAAGAACCAAATAATTAACTTGAGATGCAAGCAATCTGTAAACGATGTAATGGTTTAAACGTAAACGTCCCTTGAGGTATTGATGCATCTGTAAAGAAAAGTTGAATTGGTGAAAGCTGAAAATTTGGGCATAAATTAATCCTAATTGACTTGGACCTAACATGGATGCAATCAAGTTCTTAGATATATCGATATAATTGAAAAGCGGGGGTGAGCTCAAAAGCGGCAAGGAAGTACTGGAATTTACCAATGAAGTAAGCTGTTCCGCAGACAAATTTCCTATTAATGGCTTGAATATCTTTTCAGACGTGTAGAAGCCAACCCACTGTTCTTCCGCTGCTGCCAAATGCTTCTGCACATATTGTGTTAGTGACGAATAGTGTCTACCCTGTTCAAATATGACATCAATTAACTGGGCACTGGTTCCATTCGCAAAAGACGAATTACCGCTGGCAAGTGCGTCATATATTAACTGTGTGGAGCTTTCCTTGATGTAAACTGCAGCCCACCACTGTTGATGGTGAACTTGTTTAAGTATTTCAGCCTCGACTGTATTATTGTTTTCCAGTGCCTGCTTTTTGAAATCTTCCATTGAGCCTACTTTCCAGCCTAATTGAGACTTCACTAAAGGATCATTGGTTACCATGTCGATAAATGCATCACTCACTAAAGGCTGTATTGTTGTGCCATTTGCATTTTCAAACGCTGAATCTGCCAGAAGCACCAATGTGTTCAAGTTCTTGTATCTTGACGGCCTATCGAACATTGAACCCCAATATAAACCGACAATCGCAAGAAAGCATACAGAAATCTTAACGAACACTCTACCGAAAAGGTAAACAACATGGAATCCGTCATCCTTCCATATCGTCATCGCAACACCTTTCAATGTCTTATCCTTGTGTTTCTCACTCGTATCATCTGCTTGAGAAGTGTTCCTTCCTTCAGACTTGGCATCATCTGAAGTATCAGAGTTTTCGTTCCGACTGGAGTGGGAGCTGGCTTCTTTCACGAAATCATCTGTATTGTCTACACCATTCAGCAGGGAAGGCACATTCTTCTTAGCCAGTTTCTCCAAATTGTCAAACCCATAAATTTCATTCTTCGTGTTGAAGGTACCAATAGTGGGTTGTAGTATTTCCTCCTGATCTATCTTAGTCCCATTATTAGATGTATCCAATGGGTCCACTGATGCGCAGTCGTCCTTCATTATAATTTACGATGCCCTAGTAACCTCTCGCGCAGCTTCAAGAAGAATGTACAACGAATTAAGTCAGTTTATTTTCTGCTTACCTTTTTTCCACTACGTGCGGTCTTCTGTCTTTCTCGTATTCAAGGTTAGACCAAGTGTATAAGAAATTGTACTTCTATTGTTTTGTTTCGTTTTGCAGCCGTTATGTTTATTCGTTGGCCTCTCTATAATCCTTTACTTTCTTTAATGTACACTTTTGTGGGTTGATGAATTACTTTTCGGAAAATTTTATGAGTCTGGGATCTCCGGCTATAGTTTATCTCAAGTATGTACCACCCCACACGAACAATAGAATTAGCGATGTAGAATATAAATTTTCTCTATATTTGGTTGTGACCCACGCCGTGCAGTATTGACGTCTGTATGATTTGCAGTGTTTCTACGAACTTAAAATTATCTTTTTTTTTGGAGCTCTAAGCTGGACACTCTTCAGTAAGCATTCTTCCTCAAGGCATTGAAGGTAATGTCTGATAGATCTAGCTTATCCTCTCTGAGCAGTGTGGAGGAAGAGACACATTCGTTCGAGAATGCCCCTCCAATCCAACTTGAGGCAGATACAACAACAGATCAACAGCGAAGAAGAGGTTCACTATTGAGAAGGCTTTCCACTGGATTGTCTATTCCTCTGCTGCTTGATTCTGATCAAACAAGAACTTATCGGGTGAGGAGACAGCCTACGAACTATTCATTTGCAGGTATCTCCACAGGGGTTGAAGCTGAAGGTGAGGCTGGGTTACATGACTATTACTTTGGGACAGATGCAATCCAAAAATCCGTTACTAGAAAGACGACCTCTGACGCTGAAAAACTAGAAGAATTTCCACAAAAGTTTGAAGGTCAATATGCTTCTGATCCAGGTGCAGATAATACTGAGTTGAGTAGTCAACTCCCTGCTACACCGATAGCAAGACGAAGATCTACAGTGGTTCAAAAAATCCAAAGTATATCACAGAGATTTGGATTTTGGGACAAAGAGTTCCATAATGATAGAGTAAAAATGATAATGGCATTTCTTTCAAATTATATATACTTAGTAATAGGTTTCATTCTACCATTATGTATCTATTGGGGCTCATATTATGAGAGAGCTTCAAGGTACAAAGATTTAAAGTTCTTGGTAGTTTTAGCTGAAGAAGAAGTAGCAGGTATTCCACCTATAATAAGTGGAGTTGTTGAATACTTTTTCACTAATGTGACAGCAATACAGGCCTTGGGGGACTTTAGGGTTATGAATTTCACCCAAATCACAACCCTATCCCAGCTGCATAACTTGACGATTCAAGAAGAAGTTTATCGTCAAATTCATCATCAAAAGTATTGGACTGCATTTTATGTAAAAGAAAATGCAACCTTTAATTACTATTCAGCATTGAAACTGGCAAATACCACCTTTAATCCATCAGTATCATTAATGCAAGCTATTTATGAGACAGGCAGTAACTTTAATGCAGTGAATAATTATATTGTTTCAATTGTCAATAATATTATCCAGGGATACCTTACATACCTTCCAAAGACCGCATTACTTGGTGATTTATTGCAGGCACTTGATGAGGATGAAATAGCTTCAGTCGCAAGCACTGCGCCAAACTTATTAACTTCATTAGTAACATTTGAGATCATTGACCTTATTCCTGTGACCAATCAAATTTTTACAGGTATATTATCAATTGCTTTAATTTACATTGTCCTATTTACATTTTTCCAATACCTTTTCCTGGTTTCCATACATACTTACATCGCAACTAAAATCTCAGGAGGTGGGTACATCGCCTTTAGAATGCTTGTCTCGCAGATTTCCTATCTTTTCCTAGCATTAGCATTCGTGGTATTGAACACTGCCTTTCAAATATCTCCATCAAAGACATTCGGGAAGCTGGGATTTTTGGTGATTTGGGCATGGATCTACTTGTTGATGTCTTCTTTAGGAAGTTTCATTGAAGCTCTAGGTCTTATAATGGTTATATACAAGCCACAATTGATTGGATTTGTTTTATTATTCGTCGCAGTTATAAATGTTGCGCCAGTTGTTTCACCCATTGTTCTCTGTCCTCCATTTTATAGATATGGGTATGCGATGCCTGTTCATGCTGCATACGATTTAATGCATGTAGCGTATTTCAATTCCTGGAAAGGGAGAGTTGGATTGGATATTGGTATCATGATAGCTTGGATGATTATATCAAACATAGCGTTACCTTTTGTAATGAGATGGATGGGTGAGAAAATAGCGAAGAGAAAGGAAGAAGCAGCGGCAGCTGCTGCTGCTGCCGCTGCGACGGAGGATACAGCAGAAGATTTGACGAAGATAGAAACTAATACAGAAACTTCTGTTAGATCTACAACTGAACGAGTGGAAACTAACTCCAAACTTGATAACGATTCAGTATTAGCTTCATACAATCCGGATAATCGAGAATGAGACCTCCATATTAATGAAAAATCACACACTACATAACAATCAAAGTACTTGTAATTCTTCATATGTTTCTCTATTTATCTATACAGTTTATCCATGCACTTCCACATAAACATGTTCTTTGAAAAACCATAGTCCAGAGACCGATGGTTGTAGGTGAGGCAAAAACCAATGGATCATTAACATACGAGATAGATCTACACCTTGTACATTTTCTAAGCTTTAGTGAGGAAACAGATTTACCGATCTTTTGTTGAGCGACGGTATCTATGATGATTTTTCTTAAGCCATCCACGTATTCGCCTTCCTTATATGACAGTCTGGGAGTAATACACAGTCTTTGATTCGGATAATTGTAAACAATTTGACAATTGGCATCGCTATCTTCTGGAGCGACTTGACTAAGCTGGTTCATACCTTGTGATCTTATTCCAATAGATAGCCAGTCAACGTCATAGAAGAAAAGATCTGAAGTCTTCGGATCTCTCTTCGACATCGCAGAATACTTGCTCAATATTGCTTTAGCAATTTTTTGGATCTCTTCAGAAACTACCCCTTGACACACTAACTTCTGTTCTATTTTTAAGGAAAAGTTTTTGCCCCTTCCCTTTGTTTCTCTTTCAATTTCCATATTGATGTATGTATCACATTCTCTGATAAAGGTCTCGAACTGTCTGATGTTTAAAGCCGCGTTACTATAGATAGCCAAATATCTATTGAGTGCATCTCTCATAGGAGGATATAACTTTTTGCTTTCAGTGAGAACCCGATATAAATCAACTAATACCTCATTCGTCTTTCCTAAAGATGAGAATGCATACATTAAGAATAATCTTGGGATTTTACTTAATATTATAGGTAATGCAATGGAGTTGTTGAAGTTGAGGTTATTTGGATCAGCCGGTTCACTAGATAGCGATTCGTTTGAAAGATAGATCAACTCTTGGTTTATATAGATTGATAAATCTATCAACCATTTAATGCTTCCTAGTAATGAGGTGATATACTCTGCTCTTGATATTGAATCTTGCAAAGTGTCCTCAGTAGGCTTTTTCTTATTAATTTGCCTAAAGATGGAAGATAACAGGAACATTATACCAAAACTAGTGCATCTCAAGTTCAATACAATCCAGGCTAAATCCTTAACAACTCTATGTGGAGACACTTTGGCATTAAGATTTCCCTTTGCATGGTGGTACTGACCAAACTCGCCTAAAATGAGTTGCAAAGACAACAACTTTTGAAGCGGTGGATTGGAAAGCAATTTATCTACAGATTCCTTGCCGTAAACGTCTAATTGGAAACTGATTGCCTTGTGTGATTCACAAATGACTGATTCAATCAATTTATTGAGCACGTTGTCTACTTGGCGGTCGCTTCCATCCTTAAGTGTTTTCTTAAGTATGTATCTGATCTCTTTAATCTCGATTTGTATCAAAGCCAAAAGATCGTCTGAGCAGGTGTTGGTGTAACAAGTGTACGCATGACGAAATGCAAACCCAACTGACGTGATAAATAGGTCAATTGATGAAATAATTTTCCTGTTACTTTCGAAAACTTTGAAAGTAAGTTCTTGGTGTGGGCTATTCACTGGAATGTATACCAAAGAAGTTAGATTGGGAGATATACAAACCATATTATGCGCACCAGTTGGTAACTTAGGAAATTGAAAGCCTATATCAAATAGGGTGGTGATAGATATAGGGGGACTTTTCGTTGGACTCAGTTGCTGAGTTTGCTTTCTCTTATCTACAATAGACATTGTACTTCTATCTATCAATTGTAATTGGCCATTTTCCAAGGTTAATATTATGAAAGTATCAACAATGGTAGTGCTGATGGACTGAATTATACCATCCACATTTATCTTATCTTGAAGCTCCAATGCATATGACTTACCACTTCCAGAATTGTCTCTGCTAACTCCAGCACCTCCCCCTCCGCCTTGCAGACCAAGCTCTGAAAATACGTCGGATATTCTACTCGATTGATCAACAATGGTGTACCTATAGATCGTTGTCGAATTTGGCACGAAATCATTAATAGAGTCATACGAATCGTACGCTATTAATATTTCTAGTTCGGAGTCAGGGAAGAAATTGGGCGATATAATTTCAATACAAGATAACTCACCTGTGTGTTCTGACGCAAACTTCTTATCATCACTGTCCTTAGAACCCTCGTGAGTGTCAATATCCATCTCATCGTCATCTCTTTTTTCTTGGTCAACTTCTACTTCAATGCTCATTGGACTCATTTCGTACAAAAACTTAACCAGTAATTTTGGCGTGGATTGCAGCTCTTTTGGAGTCTGGAAATGTGGGTCAGACTTTTGTTTTAGAGCTGACTGTATTAAAAAACCCCAGTCAATAGTTATAGCAAATGTTTTGATCATTTGAGAGAGTGTGTCATAGCCAGTCACGATGATTTCCTTCCTTTTCGAGAACCCAATTGATGCTGTTTTAAAGTTAACTGGAATATTCGCACTGCTACTCAACTTGTGTGTTACTTTGTGGTACTCAACCTTGTGTTCCCCTTGGTAATATAAATGGAATTCACCGTTTTCCCTGAGGGCCACACAAGCCTGCTTGGTGGGGATTGGATGTGTAGCACCTAGAGGTGCAAATTGATTCACACCGTAAGAATATGTGATGGAAGCATTTGGGGGTGATTGCTGTGGGCTATTCTGCAGAGGTGGTACGTTGATAGTAGCCGGTTTATTTAACATTTGGTTCTTCTCAATGTTGAGCCACTTGAAACCAACTACAGAGTTTACAGATGCAGTCGAACTTGCTCCGGTGGGGAGTGGTGTAGTTGTGTCTACTATATCTCTGTATATCATTTCCAAATGATTATAGGACGTCAATTCGTAGCTGATAGAAGCATTGGGTCCTGCAGAAATGCCATTCGACGAATCCAACGCTTTGTCAGCGGAGTTGGAGGGAGTGGGTGTATGCTTCGTAGTGCCATTGGCAGCTCCGTTGGTACCATTTGAGCCATTGCTGGCCAACCCACCATTAGAGGAAGTACCGTTAGCTGTGCTGTTCGACTGTTTGGTATTTATAACACCAACTCCTGCCAAGTAGATGTAGAAATTTCCGTGTACATCTGACACTGCCAAGTCTGTACTTAAGTTACTCCAGCTTACAAGCAGTAGGCTCGGACTAAATGCATGATCATTCAGCAGTTTCACGCTCAATCCTTCCGATTTCGCCAATTGCCATGAATTCTCATCAACTCTTTCCAAATATGTTAGCAAGAGGTTGTTTTTGAACAGGTTTGGCAGCTGTTGTGTAAGTAAATCGGGTGGAGATGCAAATGCTATAATCCCGTGTTTACTCCATGATATAGATTTCCCAAATTTGGACCCCCTTTCTATTAAAGAATCGATATGCTTGGAGTTGCCGTCAACACTATGTCCTAATACATCGCCTACGACCATCTGGAATGCTATATACGCTAGTATATGTGGTATCTTGTGGCAGTAAAGACGGGCTGGTCTCTTAATCGAAAAAAGCTTGACATTTTTCACCAGTAACATATTAGTTATATGCAGGATGTTCAACTCTCGCTGTTAGACATGGCTGTTGGGAAGTCCGTTGATGAAGAGATTGAAGGTAGCAATATGTGAAGGAATAGCGGGCTCTGGTTCTGCTGGAATAGGTCTTTAGTAGCAGGACATATCTAAGGAAAGAAAACGGTATGAAAGGAGAAAGCCCTACAAAGAGTAATCACCGAATGTTAGCTGTGCACTTCTATATTACTTGGTTGGTGTTACTATTTATTGTATATGATTGTTTATCTGCTCTGTTCTGGCTTAGAGATCACCTGGAACTGGGTAAGTACCGACCCAAGTGGCGACTTCATTAGCCAAGGCCTTAACTTCTTCACTTTCGTCAGCCAACTTCTTGAAAGAAGCCAATAATTCTTTTGGAATCTTACCAGTTTCCTTTTGCTTCAAGGCTAAAGAAATTTCAACGGCTCTTTGGAAGTATTCGGCACACTTGTCGAATTCTTCAGCACCGAAACCTCTGGTGGTCATAGCAGGGGTACCAACTCTTAAACCAGATGGGAATAAGGCAGATTTGTCACCTGGAACAGTGTTCTTGTTTGCGGCAATATTGGCTCTCTCTAAAACAGCCTCTACTCTAGCACCGTCAATGTTCTTGGATCTCAAGTCAACCAAGATTAAATGAGTGTCGGTACCACCAGAGACCATCTTAAAGCCTCTAGATTCCAAAGCAGTAGCAAAGGTCTTGGCATTTTCAACGACATTCTTTTGGTATTCCTTGTACTCTGGTGAAGTGGTTTGCTTTAAGGCAACGGCCAAGGCAGAGATGGTGTGGTTGTGTGGACCACCTTGATGAGCTGGGAAAACTGAGAAGTTGATCTTACTTTCCAATTCGTATGGGATTTCCTTACCCTTCTTGGTAACTTTTCTAATACCCTTTCTGAAGAAGATCATGGCTCCTCTTGGTCCTCTTAAGGACTTGTGGGTAGTGGTGGTGACAATGTCGGAATATGGGAATGGAGACTGAGTGTAACCAGCAGCGACAATACCAGAGATGTGGGCCATGTCGGACAACAAGTAGGCACCAACCTTGTCAGCAATCTTTCTCATCCTTTCGTAGTCGATGACTCTCGAGTATGCTGAGGCACCGGCAACGATTACCTTAGGTCTGAAAAGGATAGCGTTAGCTTCTAAGGTATCGTAGTCAATAATACCGGTTTCCTCGTTCAATCTGTAAGGCATGGTCTGGAAATACTTAGAAATGTATGAAATCTTGGTGGTAGGGGTTTGGTAACCGTGGGACAAATGACCACCGTGAGGTAAATCCAAACCCATGATTCTGTCACCAACTTCTAAGATGGCAGAGTAGGCGTACAAGTTGGCTGGTGCTCCAGATAATGGTTGAACGTTAACACCCCATTCCTTTGGGTCCAATTGGAAGGCTTCCAAAGCTCTCTTTTGACACAAAGATTCTGCCTTATCAATGATTTCGTTACCACCGTAGTATCTTTCACCTGGGTAACCTTCGGAGTACTTGTTTTGCATCTCTGATCCCAACAAGTCCATGACGGCCTTAGAAGTGAAATTTTCGGAAGGAATTAAAGTAATGGAGTTCTTTTGTCTGATTCTCTCTTGGCTCAAGATTTCAGCCATTTCTGGATCGACTTCAGCGACTGGCTTGGATATGAGGGCACGGGCTGATGCTGATAAAGCATAGTTTCTTGTGGAAACTTTCAATGCGCTGGTTCTAAGCGAACGTAAGGAATTTGAAATCATTTTGGGCACAAAAAAAAATTAAAGTGAAACTCAAGTAAGTGCGTTTCCTTTGCTTATATCTACAACTAGACCTGGTTTCAGCTATTGACTGGCAATTGATGCAATTTATAATTTTTCAGTTTTGGCTTTTTTTTTTTTCATCTCCAACAACGGAGATGACGAATTCGCTGGAGGACGGAGTTCTCTTATGCACGTGACAAATATCACGGGACTTGTGGAGATCCGGTTTGGTTGACTCTGTCCGGACCCCAGTTGCACGCTAAAGGGTTGACTCTGCTAACGCTATGTAGTGGTCCAAGTCAGCGATAGATAACCTTTTGACTGGGTCAGGTTGAAGAATTCCAGTAAGTATTTCCACAATTGGAGCGTAGTAGGGTCCTAGGTAGCCTGAGTCAAGATCATCAGTGACTGAGGCTGCTGTTTTCTGAACAAACGCCTTGTCAGAATGACTCGCTATTTTCCATGGGAACCTCCTACATATGAAGTAGTATAGAATTATACCTATTGACCAAATATCCGCCTTTTTACCATCGTACAGTATTTTCAGATAAGACTCTGGCGAAGCGTATGATTCTGTTCCTACGATCCCGACCGCTAGCTCACCATTCGCAGTAGAGGTCGCAGATCCGAAATCTATGACTTTCAAAGTGTCCCCTCCTACTAACACCAAGTTGTCTAGCTTAAGATCTCTATGGCAAATCTCCATGCCGTGTAAGTACTTGATAGCGCCATGTAGTTGTTTCCAAAACGAGAAAAGAGAGTCAAAAGTTCCATACTTTCCCCGTTTCAACAAGCTCAGAAAGTCCACTGATCCGGCCTCCATGAATATCTTCACTGTTGACCCAGTGAAAGAGATCAGTTCCCTGTATACAGTGATGATGTTAGGGTGGTGCAACTTTTGGAGGATCCGAAACTCGTGCAAAACTCTAGTGTGGTATTCGCTTTTCAGTTCATACTTTTCCTTCTGGTGGTACGTCTTTATCGCGAAAACTGTGCCAGCGGCCTTGTTTTCGCAGATCTCGATGTACCCTGATATGCCCTTGTCGATACGAGTTTTGGATGTGTATTTAAATCGATCATTAAAGAGCATATGAAGAATGAGAGGTATACACAGGGGTCTTAGAACTAGATTAAATCAATGAAAATGTGACTGCGCCAGAAAGTTACTTTGCATTCCTCATATATCCATAAAAATCCGAATCAGCTTACACAGAGTATGCCTCGTGGTATAAAATGAAAAGAAAGAGTTCTCTCCATCATAAAGAAGTAAGAGGAACACCGAAAAAAAAAATGGAGCCGCATACTCATGCTGGACTGTATATGAGAATTCTCGGGATAGAGCGGGCACAGCTCTACGGAGCAGTAGTTAAAGATGCATTTCATATAGAGTATAGTAAGTTTACGCTGGAAGAATAGACTGGCTGCGTTAGGCAATTCGCTTAAATCCATTTCTATGGAACTGCACTAAATTTTAGTGTAAAAAAGCATTTGTCAGTATGTTCTGGAGCGTATGCCAGATTGCTAACATAGGGGTAGCCAGGAACACCTAATAAATGCTCGTGCCTTCTTGTAGTCATTTTCCAACTAAGTTTGGAATTTGTTCTCTTTTCTTGCGAGAGGCAATGACTATTCTCATAAACAAGGATAATAGGAGTATTGTTTGAGTAACCCATCACTCTTTACCAACTATGCGCTATCTACCCTCTCCTAAGCAGCCAATTGGGTACTGCACTACACTGGGCTACACTGCACCAAGGTTGTACGCTTCTCCACTGCTATACTGCTACACTACGATGCTCTACGCTGCAACTTCTACTATTCAAACCATATCTCTCAAAACTGCCAACACCCTATTCCACCCTCGCATTTCCTATTTTTAACACTTTCTAACTTGGCATGCCTACTCTCACACTGCCCTTTCCTAGTATGCCCTTATCCCCCATAGCAAAATGCAACCTTATCCGATATTACCTGCAGTACATGTGTCCGCATTGAACGGCCATTTGGCCGTATTAGGTCACTATCTATACCTTTCTAGGTGCTTGCCACCCTTATATGCAGTGCCTCTTTCGCTTGCTAAGAGTAATATTCAGCCCACCAAGGAAAAGGATAAAACTAAAATGGTTATCACTCTTTTACTCTCCTTTTCTTTCCAATTGCATAGTATAACTTCGATATCGAAATCAATTTGCTTCTAATTACTTGATCCAATTGATACTGAGAAGATGAAGCTAACAATTTCTCTTAAGACCGCAGTAACTGTGCTCGCAGTCGCCAGCACTGCTGACGCTCTTTCCATCCCCAACTTGAACAACTATGTTAGCGGAATTCAACAGACATTTGACTTCCAGCTTGACAGAGTGATGAATACCTTGGATGTTGGAAAGAACCAGGTAGTTTCTTCCATTGCTCAATACCTTAACCAGCCATTGGAATCCATCCCATACGATGCTAAGAAGACTTGGCTGGAACTCTTGATGGAATTCCCAGATGCTGTGTCTAAGTTGAACTTCAAGTCGCTCCCAAAGAAGGCCAAGGCCGTTGCTTCAAAGTTCGACTTCCACATGACCGATGCTAAGCACCCTAACCATAAGTTGAGAGGTAAGTCCACTCCAACTGATCTTGGGGTTGACAGCGTTAAGCAATACACCGGTTACTTAGATGTTGAGGACGAAGACAAGCACTTCTTCTACTGGTTTTTCGAATCCAGAAACGACCCAAAGAATGACCCAGTTATTCTTTGGTTAAATGGTGGTCCAGGATGTTCTTCCTTGACTGGTTTATTCTTTGAATTGGGTTCATCTTCCATTGGACCAGGCTTGAAGCCAATCTATAACCCATACTCCTGGAACAGCAACGCATCGGTTATTTACTTAGATCAACCAGTTAACGTTGGTTACTCTTACTCTTCTGAATCTGTTAGCAATACCATTGCCGCCGGTAAGGATGTTTATGCCTTTTTAGAATTGTTCTTCAAGCAATTCCCACAATACAACAAGAAGCAAAAGTTCCACATTGCTGGTGAATCTTACGCCGGTCACTACATTCCTGTTTTCGCAAGCGAAATCTTGAGCCACCCAGACCGTTCATTCGACTTGTCCTCTGTGTTGATTGGTAACGGTTTAACTGATCCATTGACCCAATACAAGTATTACGAGCCAATGGCTTGTGGATTGGGTGGAGAACCATCAGTATTGGAGCCAGAAGAATGTGAATCCATGCTTGACGCCGTTCCAAGATGTTTATCATTGATTGAAGGATGTTACGAAACCGGCTCAGTATGGTCTTGTGTTCCAGCTACTATCTACTGTAACAACGCCGAAATGGGACCTTACCAAAAGACCGGTAAAAATGTCTACGATATCAGAAAAGAGTGCAAAGGCGGGAACTTATGCTACGAGGACTTGCAATACATAGATGACTACTTGAACCAAGCTGAAGTCCAAGAGAAGTTGGGTGCTGAAGTTGAAGAATACCAATCATGTAACTTCGATGTCAACAGAAATTTCATGTTTGCCGGTGACTGGATGAAACCATACCACAAGGCAGTTATTGAATTGTTAGAAAAGGATTTACCAATTTTGATTTACGCTGGTGACAAGGACTTTATTTGTAACTGGTTAGGTAACCAAGCTTGGGCTGATGAATTGCCATGGTCTGGACACGATGAATTCGCCAAGCAACCAATCAGAGATTGGAGTGTTGACAAGAAGCCAGCTGGAGAAGTCAAGAACTACGATAAGTTCACCTTCTTGAGAGTCTTTGGTGCAGGACACATGGTTCCATACGATCAACCTAAGAATTCCTTAGACATGGTCAACAGATGGGTCAGTGGTGACTACCACTTTAAATAGAGGGGGTGGAAGACTACTTAAAGCGAGATACAACCACTACAACAGGGAAACATCAAGAATTGAAAAACCAAAATAAAAAAAAAAAGAGCCTGAACTGCGAGACATAATGTCAAAAGCATCAGCTATATGCTCCCCTGCTCCTATTTGACTCACCATAGGGGAAATAACAGTTGCTATTCAACTTGTTTTCTCCATGGTTGAGCTCAATTGCTAAGATTGCACCCATAAAAAAAAGAGAAGAAAAAAAAAAATCAAAAAAAAAATTAAAAAAAAAAAAATAGTAAACAAAAAAAAAGCATAAATAAATAAAATAAAATAATGAATACTGTCATCTAATCTTCCATTTGTATCTCCTCAATCTCTCGTAGACAGCAACCGCTCCCTACTTTAGACTATTATTATTTAACTTTAACCTAATGGAAGGGTCAGAGATGGCTATTTCATGCAATAATCCAGGTCCCGTTACACAAAGCCGTGAGGTTGCAAAGTGCAGCAAACTGCCTAATTAGGACGAGACATAAATAATAACAAACAGAAAAGAAAATATTTGGTTAGTGAGTTGGTCTGCAATAGAAGGATGGGCATGTATGATCGCTTGTTTAATCCCGCTGTATTGCAAGCCAGCAATAGTCTTGAAGAGGTTCGTATTTAGCTATATACATCCAGAGATCAGGACTCGACTCCGTACTTTGTCTTCATATCTGTAAAATAGTTATTGGAATAGTAGACGGCTGACAAGATAAGCCCGTACTAAATAGCCACACAAAGCAGGTACATATACACAGCAATTAGCTTGCGCATTTCGATATTGGCGTTGGGGGATCGTACTTCGACACAGCTGTTGCCCGTAATTTTTGAAAAGAAAACGGAGTTACACTATTCATTCCAGCACGAAAGTAGAGAACCTTGTTGTTAGTCATGAATAACATAACTATAGGTTGGTTGATAGTGGCCATGGCGCTGGTGATATCGACGCTATCGTTGGTGCTATCTGTGCTAGGGCTTCTTCATGTTGAAACTGACGATGGTGCATTGATTCTGCTAATCGTTTCTGGGTTTACAATGGTGCTAGGCTTGGTCATCTCAGCAGTAGTCTTGTTGACAACGAACTTCACAGTTGCAATTGTCTGTGCTCCTCTCATATTGTACCTTTTCGAATTGGTATCGGGGATCGTGTGGGTAATAGGCATCGTCCACAGGGCCCCGGCTGCTCGTTCGGGTGAACACACCTCCGCAATGATAGGTATCTTCATTATAAACGAGGTGGCCGCCAGCATGTGCCTTCCAATTGCATTACACTACTTTAGTTCCACTCACGGAGAGAGTCTGCCAGCGGACGAAGAACACACAATAGGGCAAGCAGCATCGACTCTAAATGACTCGACTTCTGAGCGAAAGAATAGTCCAGTGGACGACCATGTAGAAAGCACAAGTGAAGGGAATACCATCAAATCAAATCACAGCGTTCCTGTTTCCAAAAAGGTATCGGAAAGAACATTAGTGGACCAGGCACCGCTAGTTCTCCTTCACAACCAAATTCAACTTCATCAGCATAACAATTCTCAGGATTCCAAGTACACGGATACCTTGAAGTTCAAGCATATTAGTGAAGAATCCAATCAATTATCCGTCTACTCGGACTTCATTAATGAATCTATTAATAAAAAGCCAGGTGAGTATGCCCATTTCACATCTGACAACTGGATGGACTCTGGAACCAAATTGTACTCATTGGCATTCCCTGCGGAAATTCAACTGCAAATTGTCAGCAAGAAGCCATCCATGCAAAGAAAGACTTCGTTTGGAAAGTTCATGCTCACCCTGCAGCTGGTAAGCCTGTTACGCCGTGGTTCGTACACTTTGACTAACTCCAAAAGTGTTCCTACCTTTTTCAAGCAAAACAGAAAACTCGAATCTGCAATTCCTGACAATTCAAATCCCAAATCCACCAAATTTGTGGAAATAGAGTCTTCATTCAGGGCCCCACCTTCTTCAAGCACAGTATTGGCTCAGGAAGCCGATGCGGGAAATCATTTGGGTGTCGAGGGAGAAGTACTTCAAGAAAATAATAGACCAATTTCATTGATAAAGTCGACCTCAGAAAATTCTATCGCTGATATCATTAATGGTAGAACTACTTTGGCTCAAGAACGTCAACGTTCTCAACAGGAGCAAGCCATCATTCAGGATGACCCCGTGAAGACCGAACTAGACAAAAGTGTAAAACGCTCAAAGTCAGCCAGTTATGTTGGAGGTCATCGAAACAAAATGAGAAGAAGGGAAGAACGGTGGAAGTCTATAAATGATGAAAAGATATTCTTACTGCAGGTGAACGAGTCTTTGCTTCCATCGGTCTTAAAGACTGGGGAGAGTCACATTATGGAATTGAAAAGACAACAGGAGCATAATTCGCTTACAAACTCGATTCCATCCCCACTGAAACGACTGGTACTGGAGGCATTCGTAGACTTCCCTCCAAGTGAACTCTGTAACGACTTCGGAGAGATTGATGACAACAATGTGAGTATCTACGATGATGAAGATGAAGAAAACTTACCAAACATTTCAGAATTTGGTGAGAGACAACAAGATGCAGATGACTTATCTGATTTCAAGGGATTCACTCAGGATACATTAGTACTCTCGCCAGAGGACCTAGATTATGAAGATGAAGATGTTGACGATTTACAGATTCCAAAATCTGCTACTTATCAGACGCCAGTGTGGAAAGGAGCAGAGGTGGAGAAGAAGCAGAAGAAATCATATATTTCTTTGCAAAATTGGAATAGCAATTCCAATTCCTGGAACGAAGAGAGACAGAGAAATGGTTCTTCTTCAAATAATGGAGTGATCATAACCGTAAGTGATGGAGAGGATAACGTTATTGAAGGGAAGACTGGAGCTGGTGTTGCTACTAGACGGCCACCATTCAACATGCTGAATCGTTCTTTTAGCGCTCCATCGTTGCACACATTCAGGGATTTCTCTTCCAATTCCAATAGTACCACATCAAATGCAGATAAAGACCAGCAAATCGCTACCGCTTCGACAGATATGACACTGCATACATTCGTCAATAAGAACAACAATTTATATCTTGATTGCAAAACTCCGCCTGTGAAGACAGAGAATTCTTCATCTTCATCTCCAATTAAGAAATTCTTCCAAGAATCTCCTAGAAGATTTAGTACCGTATTCAAAAGACAATCGAGACAGAGTCTTGAAATAGATCCTCGGGTATTTGGACATCAGCATAACGGATCGGTGGCTTCTAATGCATTTTCATTGGGTTCCACCAAATCCAATTCTCCAAAGAAATCACTTAAATCATTACTCACAAAGAAAAATGTCATCAATACGCATCGCAAAAACGCCTCTGTGCCCTCCATGTCATTTCCTTTGAAAGACAAGAAGTTGGATATTCAATCTTCTAGCTGGTACACAACTGCCAACAACTATTCCTATGAATACAAGATGAGGGATCCTAGAGAGGTAGCCGATGCCCTTGATCGCTGGGAGATGGACATTCACCCTACTCCTACTTCTGGTCAATCGAGAGTCAGCTCAGTTCCAAGTGCAGTTATCGGCGAATATGATAGGGAAAAATGGAGAACACTAAAGGCACTTGAAAATCAAGAAAGCATCATGTTGAATTTGAATGAGTTCTAGGAGTTCTAAAAATTTCATATACAAAGTAGAACTGGAAAACAATGCAACCAAACAAAAAAAAAATGAAGAGAAAAAAAGAGAAGTCAAACTGCTTTACTCCTCGTTAATTCAAGCATGATACATAATACATTAGCATTAGCATATACTAGCATTAATAATAATACCTAATTTAATAACTCAGCTCCGTACTAGTAGCACTACTTCACTTCTCTGTACGCAGTACTATTTTGCAGCCATTTTGGTTCCTGCATTTAGTGTGTGATGAGTAGAAAAAATATAGAGGTGCAAAAAAAAAAGCATCAACTCCACCAACCACCACCACTCTTCTTCACTTCTGTAAGCTAAAATGGATGAAGACGATCTTTTTGGAGTCTTCAATGAAGCTCCTGTCTTGTCTGCTCCTGTTGGGAAGATTGAAGAGATTGAAGAAGGTGACTCCTCCAACAACAAGAGGACACATTCGGACGATGAGCAAGTAGAAGAGACCGAAGACAAAGGTGAGGAACAAAAGGAAGAACCCGTGGTCAGTAAGAAGAAGAAGCTAAACAAGGAAACTTCCAAGCCAGACATAAAACCTGTTGTTTTCGATTCGTTGGAAATTGAAGCTTCCAGAGAAGTTGCAGTCTCAAATGGTTTGATGGCTCCTTCTACTGCTGCTTCTGCTGGAGATGAAGGTAAACAAGATGGTAGCAATGGTCAAATAAAGTTAAAGCATCAAGTTAGACATCAAGTTGCCATACCACCAGATTTTCCATACGTCCCTATTGGTGAGCATAAGAGACACAATGAAGCACGTACGTACCCATTCGTGTTGGATCCTTTCCAAGACACAGCCATCTCATGTATCGATAGAAATGAAAGTGTCTTGGTTTCCGCACATACATCTGCTGGTAAGACAGTCGTTGCTGAATATGCAATTGCCCAATCTTTAAGGGAGAAGCAAAGAGTCATTTATACATCTCCAATCAAGGCCTTGAGTAACCAAAAATATAGAGAGTTGTTGGCCGAATTTGGAGACGTTGGATTAATGACTGGTGATGTTACCATAAATCCCGATGCCGGTTGTTTAGTGATGACCACTGAAATTTTAAGATCTATGTTGTACAGAGGTTCTGAAGTTATGAGAGAAGTTGCCTGGGTTATATTTGATGAAGTTCATTACATGAGAGATAAATCAAGAGGTGTCGTTTGGGAAGAAACTATCATCTTGTTGCCAGATAAGGTTCATTATGTATTCCTTTCCGCTACCATTCCTAACGCCATGGAATTTGCAGAATGGATTGTCAAAATTCATATGCAACCTTGTCATGTTGTTTACACTGATTTCCGTCCAACCCCCTTGCAGCATTACTTATTCCCAGCTGCTGGAGATGGTATTCATTTAGTTGTTGATGAGAAGGGAACTTTCAGAGAAGAAAACTTCCAAAAGGCAATGGCAAGTATAAGTGACAACACTGGTGACGATCCTGCAGCTGCCAATGGCTCAGGTAAAGGTAAAAAGGGTCAAACTTACAAAGGTGGAAATAAAGATGGGAAATCTGATATCTACAAAATTGTTAAAATGATTTATATGAAGAGATACAATCCTGTCATTGTATTTTCATTCTCCAAGAGGGACTGTGAATCTTTAGCTTTAAAGATGTCCAAATTGGATTTCAACACCGATGATGAAAGAGATGCATTAACCAAGATCTTCCATAATGCCATTGGTCTCTTACCTGAAGCCGACAAGGAATTACCTCAGATTAAGAACATTTTACCTTTATTGAGACGTGGTATCGGTATTCATCATTCCGGTTTGTTACCGATATTGAAGGAAATTATCGAAATTCTCTTTCAAGAAGGTTTATTAAAGGTGTTATTTGCGACTGAAACTTTCTCCATTGGTCTTAATATGCCTGCTAAGACTGTTGTGTTCACATCTGTTCGTAAGTGGGATGGTAAGGGCTTCCGTTGGGTATCCGGTGGTGAGTACATTCAAATGTCCGGTAGAGCTGGTAGACGTGGTTTGGATGATCGTGGTATTGTTATTATGATGATTGACGAAAAAATGGAGCCTCAAGTTGCCAAGGGAATGGTCAAGGGTCAAGCTGATAGATTGGATTCAGCTTTCCACCTCGGTTATAATATGATTTTAAATTTGATGAGAGTGGAAGGGATTTCCCCTGAATTCATGTTAGAGAATTCATTTTTCCAATTTCAAAATGCTGCATCAGTCCCAAAGATGGAAAAGGAATTACAAGATTTGACATTAAACTTGAACCAAATACAAATAGATGATGAGTTTACTGTGAAAGAATACTACGATTTAAAGAAGCAATTGGATACCTACCAAGCTGATGTTAGAAAGGTAGTTACCCACCCGGGTCATATTCTACCATTTTTGCAGCCAGGTAGAGTGATCAAGGTAAAGATTCCAAGTGGTAAAGATGATGGAGAAGATTTTGATTATGATTGGGGAATGGTTGTATCCTTCCAAAAGAGAACCAACAAGAGAAATCCATCTCAAACTTTCACCGATCACGAATCGTACATTGTTACTGTGTTTGTTTTCACGATGTATGTCGATTCACCAGCTAATCTCATCAAACCATTCAATCCACAATTAGCTGAGGGTATCAGACCTGCTAAGGCAGGTGAAAAATCAAGAGCTGAATACATTCCAATTACATTGGATTCTATCGAAAAGATTAGTAGCGTTAGATTGAAAGTTCCGGATGAATTCAAGCTGTCAGCAGCAAAGAGAAATCTTGTAAAGACGATGAAAGATTTGCCTAAGAGATTACCAGATGGAATTCCAATAATGGACCCAGTTGAAAGTATGAAGATAGATGACACAGATTTTAAATTATTATTAAGAAAAATTGATGTGTTGGAATCTAAATTATACTCCAACCCATTGTACAATAGTACAAGATTGAACGATTTATACGAAAAATACAATGAAAAGGTGAAACTTGAATCAGAAATCAAAACTTTAAAAGAAAAAATTTTGGAAGCTCAAGCAGTAATTCAATTGGATGACTTAAGACACAGGAAGAGAGTATTGAGAAGATTAGGGTTTACTACTGCAAATGACATTATAGAATTGAAAGGTAGAGTTGCATGCGAAATCAGTACTGGTGATGAATTGTTATTGACTGAATTAATATTCAATGGTACTTTTAATGACTTGACACCGGAACAATGTGCTGCCTTATTGTCCTGTTTTGTGTTCCAGGAAAGAGCTAAAGAAGTTCCAAGATTGAAGCCAGAATTAGCCGAGCCCTTAAAGTCCATGCAAGACATGGCAACCAAATTGGCCAAAATCTTCAAAGAATGCAAAATAGAACTTGTAGAGAAGGAATACGTTGAATCTTTTAGACTGGAATTGATGGAGGTAACTCATTCTTGGTGTAAAGGTGCCTCATTCACTCAAATTTGTAAAATGACCGATGTTTATGAAGGCTCCTTGATTAGAATGTTTAAGAGATTAGAAGAGATGTTAAGACAGATGGTGACAGCGGCGAAAACCATTGGAAATGCCGAATTAGAAGAAAAAATGGAGAAGGCAATTGAAATGGTTCATAGGGATATCGTATCTGCAGGTTCTTTGTATCTTTAGTAATGTGTATATTAGATTGTCCGAATATAGAAGTAAAAAGAGTAATAGTAGAAGACATTAGTAATATATATCCTCAAGGTTGACACAATCTTAAACGAAAGTGAGCTGATGAGGTTCTGGACCGGAAATTTTAATTTGCAAACCCTAACGTCCAGAACCTTTCTGCAATCGAATAGTAGAAACCGGAGATGCCGCAAGTTCACCAAGTTCACCAAGTTTATCCGCTTTCAAGAACTGGACCTAGGTTACATTTTTTATCATACTCTTTTGTATAATTTTACATTTTGTCTCACTCTGAGGAACAATCATTTGTGTTTTATTTTTAAGGGAGATAATGTATTGGAAAGTAGATGAACGGCAGGATATGCGGCTCTAGACAATGGATTATATAAGCATATGTATTGTTTCCTGTCAAAAGCATACAAAGCCACTTGAAAACGTAATGTTTAGGCAATGTGATTGACCAAGCAAAAGGTTCTTCTGCTTACATTGTTCCCCAATTCCATTCAAGAAGTAAAGGAACCTGATTTTCTGCATAAAGTTTATTATCAAAACATCAATTGTAAAAACCGCATCTTTAGAACTGTCTGCGGAGTAGGATATGCACCTCAATTATGTCGGGAAGTTTAAATTACAGTCTAAGGAAACTATAGTGTTATTGTAACAGCCTGGTCGTCTTATCTGCAACGGCTGGTTTGAGAATTTAGAGACATACAGCAAAAAAATAAAATTAAAGATAGGGCTTTCTTTAATTTTACGCTTGATATGTATGAGTGTATACCATTAAAGGGTGAATGCGAATAAAAGGGGTAGAGAATTGTATAAGTGGGGGGGCCATTCGTAAATGTCTAGTTCAAAAGTAACACATTTAAGATTATTTTGGGCTCTAGTAACACTGGCTCTGCTTTAAAAAATAAAACAACAAGGCAAATGATTCAAGTAAGGATACTTAATTCTAGAATGCATCAATATTTTTTGGGTCCAGTGTCAGTTTGAAATTAATAGAAGGAAATACTTGGAAGTCTGGATAAGGTGATGCATTCTGCGCATCGTATTACATGCATGTATCTATTGTGTGACTGAAATAGTTATTTCTAGATGCAATTGGTCTGAAGAGCCCAGAAGGGAACTGTGGACTTAAATTGCAGGACAATCTATAAATACTTAATACAAAACTAGCTAATATTGCATCAACTTTGCAAGAATTTTGAAAAAAAATCATATTATTGAAGGTTAGGTCATCTACATGTTTCTCAATGTTCGAGTCTTTAAGATATAAACATGACCTTGCCAGGAAGGTTAAGTCAAAGATAGTCAGAGACGTACAAGATCCTAAGGTTAGACTCGTGAACTTAGTTACTCAGTCAAATATGTATGGAATTTTGGTGAAGAATATTGTCAGGGAGCAAAGTGTTGCTAAGGCACTGAGATTGCAGCAAGACGAAATGGTAGTAGTTAGTGGGCGCATTCAGTCCTTAGGGAATGAAGGCGCAAGCTCTGTATTCGGAGGAAGAATTCGCCAGGGTTTCAACGAAATGTATCACTCGTGCACCAATTCCTCTTCAGAAGAGGAAGACTCGGAAAATGAATACAGCTCATCTGAACCCGACTCTACTGGTAATTCAGATTCGTGTTCAGATTCAGACTCGGACTCAAATTCGGATTCGGATTCTGATTGCCAAGGCTATGATTCTGATGAGCATGAAAATCGCCTTATATCTTCGCCCTCGTATGTTAAAAGTATGGGGCAATATATTTTAACAGAGTATCACTCTCCAGCGCCACCGGCTTGGCCCATAATAGAGAGCATTGAGATCATCAGCGATGGCAGTTACGATGTGGCCTACGACTCTGCTTCCGATTCTGATTCTGATAGAGATTCTGATTCTGGCCCTGAGTATGCTCAGCCGTACTGGTGTATACCAGTTGAGATACGTAATAGCCTGCTCCCATCAACATGTGGGCTGCATTTTCTCCCAGTGATCTTTGAAGAACATGAGTCCCTGGAGGACTCATACATATTGCTTGAGGATTAATACTAGCAAACCCCTAGAATTACGAATTACGAATTACGATACTCTATATGAACATTACACATATATCTCCTTTGGAAAAGGTTGCATATTTTTAAACTATGTGTGTGAGCATAGTATTCTCACACTACTCTATATAATAATACATATACTTAATGCACAGGCAATAAAACAACGTTCAGCTGGTTACCCTCACTAGCCGTTGATGGGTGAAAGATACAGAGGTCAGATACTAGCGTCGAGCCCCTAGAGCTACGAATTAGGATAACCCATGCCAACCTTGCACATCTATCTCTTTTGAGAACGGTTGCATTTTTTCTGCACTCTGTGAGGGCCTGTATGCTCACACTAATCTAAATACAATTGATGTACATGTAGTAGTACACACATTCGGCTTGCTTCTCTCACTGGTCATGGGCTGGTGAGTTCCGTAGTATGTATCTCAATTGTCGCTTTTTCGCCTGTGGGCTGTCCGTTCTTCGAAGTCTCTGATCCTCCTCCCCTCCTCCTTATAAGTACCCTTTACCTGCCCCCATGAACGTGCTACTGAGAGAAACTAGCAACTATACAGGAAAAGTAGCAGGAATGACGCCTACTACCATTTTGGAGTTTATATTGCGGCTACTTTGCGTACATGCTCTAACTTTGCAGTTAACATAAAAACCGTTTGCCTCCCTTACTCCCCACAGTAAAATTTGAAAAAAAAAGTCTCTTTTTGTACTTTTCTTTTCATCTACCCTATATATATATATTACTATCAGGCAATTGGATCGTGACAGGTCATGGCTCCTAAGAAAATAATGCTCAGCAATGAGGTGGAGTTGCTTTACACTAAATCAAAAACCTACCTACACCCCACCACTTCCAAGAAGGACAACATAGTTGGATACTTGTCACTCTCGAGGGGTAACAACGCCACGAACAATGACATTCTACTCTCGTTTACCCCTGAGAATCTGCTTTCCAAAGAGGAATTGAAAATCTACCAGGAAGTGGATATCGATGACTTGCTGATGGATTTGGCAGCATTGCTGCTTCAGGGCAAGTCAGGTAGTGGATCAAAAAATAATACTATTGGCCTGTTCAGAGTCGTTTCGAAGCCGCCAGTTTCAGTCTTGACGTCTTATAGTTTTAGTATCCCAATTTCTTTCATCTATTCCATTCAAGTCAGAAAGCCCTCGGTTGGCTGGTGGTTTGGCTCAATTGTCGTTAACTCAAGGGATGGTGAGAAGCTCCCCATAGTCTTCTTCCATGACGACGAGTCCCCATCAACTATCCAACACCAGAAAGTGAGGAACCAGAGATTCGATCCCTTTGGTGAGGGAGGGGACTTGTTCTGGGGTGGTCTGGAGTTTATGAATGCATTAAATAAATTTGCCAATGTTGAAAAGCTGCGCTTAGAACCTTCAGTGTACTTGGTTAATCCAGATTCATTGGATTTAAGAAACTTTTCGCCCTACGAAAGTAAAAACAAAAAGGGTACAGAAGGAAAAGCAAAGCAAGAGCCTTTCAAGCTTCCTGATGTCAATAAGTTTTTGGCCAATGCTAAGTGGAAGGTCTTAGAGACAGTTGCGACATTTTCCACAAGGACCAGAAACCAAGTCATTGACTTGGTAGAAGAGCACGCTCCAACGAACATTAAGCAAATAATAAAAAAACCTGAAGTTCAGAAAATGGGAGAGGAATTTGACAGTGCCAGGGTCTATTTGGCTAAATGGGCGGCTCAAGTTAAGGAGGAAGCTGAAGAATCTCAAAGAAAATATATGCTCGATGATGAGTTGTATAATAAGATCAATAAGGAAATTGGTTCTAATGAAATTTTGACAAATGAGGAAATCAGCACTGCTTCAAGAAGAAAGGCAATTTCGAAAGTGGAATGGGAAGGATTTTTCGATTACTCTGGTAGATTGTGTATTACTGTCGGGGAGGTTAAATCAAGAATATTCCACGGAGGTTTAGAAGATTCAATTAGAGGAGAGGCATGGTTATTTTTGTTGGGAATCTTCCCTTGGGATTCCTCCAAGGAAGAGAGAGTGGTGTTAAAGGAAAGTTATGAATCTGCCTATGGTGAATTGAAATTGAAATGGGTTACAGACGAAGACAAGAGAAGTGAAGAATTTTGGAAGGATCAAAAGCATAGAATCGAGAAAGATATTAATAGGACTGACAGGAACTTAACTATCTTTCAGAACAAAAGAAGGCTTTCAATTCAAGGAATTGACAGTAAGAAGGGACCAATAGTTAGAGAAGAGACTGAAGAAGAAAGAGGAAGGAGATCCAGACAAGCTTCCTCTTCATCTGAAACAGGACCTGCAAATACTGCTGAGTCAAGAAATTCCTCTCCAGAAACTCCTGATGAAGATGCTTTCGAAAATGAGGAAGAGGATGACCAATTTGACGTTTCTAATATCAAAAATCCACACCTCTTTAGAATGAGAGAGATCTTATTGACTTATAACGAGCACAATGTAAATTTAGGTTATGTCCAAGGAATGACAGATCTCTTGTCACCATTATACGTTAAATTTCAAGATGAATCTTTAACGTTTTGGTCATTTTCGAAATTCATGGATAGAATGGAAAGAAATTTCGTAAGGGATCAATCGGGTATGAAAAAGCAAATGTTACTATTGAATGAATTAGTACAATTTATGTTGCCTGATCTATTTAAGCATTTGGACAAGTGTGAATCAACAGATTTGTTTTTCTTTTTCAGAATGCTTCTTGTGTGGTTTAAACGTGAATTTGAATGGGATGATGTGTTAAGATTATGGGAAATCTTATGGACAGATTTATATTCCAGCCAATACCATTTATTTATAGCATTAAGTGTATTGAGTGATAATGAAAGAATTATCATTCAAAATTTGAGAAGATTTGATGAAGTTTTAAAGTATATGAACGATTTATCTATGAAATTGAATTTGGATCATTTATTGATTAGATCTGAGTTGCTATTTTTGAGATTTAGAAGAATGATTGATATCATTGATAGAGAAAATTCAAAGAAGCCTGCTGTAGATGGGGAAGAAAACAGCAGTATTATCAAGATTAGCCCCGACTTGAGAGGATTGTTGAGCAAAGAATTGGTTATACAAAAGGAGGTGGAAAGACCAGAAGGGGTAGGTGGTGGTTAGGAAGTACAATGAAGTGCAGTGAAGTGATAAGATAAAAAAAAAAAAAAAAATTAAAGTAGATGGATGAAGCATGCATGATGAATAGGAGCTGAATGGATGATGAAGAAAGAAATTTGGATTGTGAATGGATGATGAATAGTGAATGGTGAATGAGAGATGAGGTAGCGATGGATGGAAGGCGACTACTGGGAATGAGAAATGTAAACGGAAGGAGAAAGAGAATGCTTTCTTTATTTCTCCTACAATTAATGGAATTTTTGCGAGCTCCTACAGATTGTTGCATTTTATGGAAATGGGTATTGGTTTTTTTTTCAACTTTTTGTTTAGGAGATATTATGGTTTCATACGGGCAAGTACTGATAGATGAATATGTTTCTTTTTGTATAAGACTTACCTTTAGACTAGAATTGTACGACTGTACGACTGTAGCTCCTCTGTTTTCTTGACTCTGTGTCATTGTAAGTGATCATCGTACCAAGCCACTTACGAGCTCATCACTACAAATATTTTAACCACAGCAGCATAAAACGGGTAAATAAATTCCTGTCCCAAAATGTAAATCGGGTAAGCTGATGCGGGACAAGCTAACCAAGCCATCGCACATCTTCTTCGTCCATGTTAAACTATGCTGCCCCCCTTCCCCCAATAGCTTAGACAACAAAAACACAAATTCACTAGAATCGATAATGGCTCCAATTAAGCAGCTGCACTGCTCATTGAGCCCATTCTCTCTTCTCCATGAATCCAACTGCATTAGTACCACTCCAACAGTACTCGTGTAGTGGTTATGATCGTCTAAGAAGAGGTTATGCAGCACATGAGGCTCAAAAATTGGTTTGTTTTGTGTCACTACGTTTTATTAAGCGATGGACTTGCTAGCTGGAGTATTGAAGAGAACTAGAGCCGGCTTACTCCCGTTTACTCTGCTATTCTTGAGGGTTATTCGCTAAGAGAACGGTATGGCTAACGAACTAACCCCTTTAAAGAGCAATGACGAAGCAGATGACTACTATTTAGAGGAGGAGGAAGAGGAATGGTCCCAAACCGCAATCTATGCCATGTGGGGTGGCGGTGTGGCTGTCTGCTTGGGTATGCTATACCTTTTTATCTTCTTCTTGCCATCTGTGTACATACCTGTGGCAAGACCTTTGGACGGGGTGGTAAAGGTTGCAGAATTAGACGTCGGACTCCTGGTTTTATCCCCAAAGAGAGTCAAGGAGTTGGGTTTGGATAAGTTTCAGTTCATTGATAACGATAAGAAGGACGAAGACGAAGACGACTACGAAGTAGATGAAGCTAATAAGGACGGCAATGATTATGAAGCGGATGAACAGGAAGATGGAGAGCATGCAGTCTCTACCGCTAATGGAGTGGAAAGGTATATTCTTGTCGGAGACGTTCACGGAGAGTACCAAAACCTTCAAAGGCTTTTAAAGAAAATCCTGTACAACAAGAAAACAGACTATCTCTTGCTACTTGGAGATTTCATCACCAAGGGCCCCGACTCGTTGAAAGTGCTTGACTGGGCGATTGAAAACGACGTGGACTGTATCTTGGGTAACCATGAATACTATGTGTTGCAGAACTATGCCCAGTTCCACAACTTGTATGCTCCATTCTTCCAGGACTTGAACTCCACGTCCATGGAAACACACTTCTCCACCAGAGACAAGTTCAACAATGACCCCGAGTACTTGCTTGCAAAGAAGTTGCAACTACACCAGGTTGAATACATAAATAAATGCTCAGTTATTAAGAGGTTGGGGCAGGTACCGTTCCATAACCCAGAGGCTAACAATGGGACCAAGAGATCGGTTCAAGGTGCCGCTGTGCATGCTGGGTTGCGCTGGGACTTGTTGGCAGATCTTAATGAGCAAGAGCCCATGGATAATTTGGAAATGAGGAAATTATTACCTCCTTTCTACAACGAGACTACAGACGATCCACATGCCGAAGGTGCCATTGGTTGGACTAAGATCTACAAGAACAAGCAAAAGGCATTATCATTGAAGGATAAATTGGTAGTTTACTACGGGCACGATGCGAGAAGAGGACTTCGCTTGAGCAAGTACACTAGGGGCTTAGATTCTAGGTGTAATGCCGGAGGGCACCTTTCTGCTATGATCATATGGAAGGAAGCAGGTGCGAAGGGAAAGAAGGTGGTCTATAAAGAGCAAGCATTCCAAGTTGAATGCAAATAGTATTATAATGATGATGAGATGATAAGAGTTATGTAATTGTAATAAAGTGGGATTGTAACCATACTGACAATGATGGTAATAATTGTAATAATAATAGTAGTAATAAAGGTAACGATTGTAATAATAATAGTAATAATAATAATAATAATAGCATTGATTACTTTTGGGCGTACGAGTCTCTACAA